TAATAGAAAGACTTTTAAAAGAGAAGGGGGACGGGCTCGGTGGCTCACGCCTGTAATCCTAGCACTCTGGGAGGCCGAGGTGGGCGGATTGCTCGAGGTCAGGAGTTCGAGACCAGCCTGAGCAAGAGCGAGACCCCATCTCTACTATAAATAGAAAGAAATTAATTGGCCAACTAATATATATATACACAAAAAATTAGCCGGGCATGGTGGTGCATGCCTGTAGTCCCAGCTACTCGGGAGGCTGAGGCAGCAGGATTGCTTGAGCCCAGGAGTTTGAGGTTGCTGTGAGCTAGGCTGACGCCATAGCACTCACTCTAGCCAGGGCAACAAAGCGAGACTGTCTGAAAAAAAAAAAAAAAGAGAATGAATCTTCAGTCATCTTTTCATTGATAATGTAAATTTACTTTCTCTTTTAAACACTCTGGGTTATTTATTGCATTTAAGATCTGATCATGTTGTTAAGAAACTAAAGAAAATGTAATTGAATGGCAAGACATCTCTGTTTATTGATTGCAAGACAATATCATTAAGATGATAGTAATACTCACTGGGTGCTGATCAGGTGGTGGGGGTGGGGGGATAAACCCATAACTAATGGAAATGGAGCTCACTGTATGGGTGAAGTGGATGCGTTTGTACCCCTGTAATATCCTGAATTTTAAAAATTTAAAGAATTTTTTAAAAGATGATAATACTCCAAACTGATTTATAGGTTCAGCTAAAACCATATCAAAATTTCATCTAACTTCTTTTCTGAAATGGACAAGTTGATCCTAAAATTCATATGGAAATTCAGGGGACCCAGAATAGCAAAAACAGTATTGAAAAAAAGAATACAGTTGAAGTACTCACACTTCTTAATTTCAAAACTTATTACAATGCTATAGTAATGAAGATAATGTGGTTCTGGAATTAGGGATAGAGATCAATGAAATAGAATTGAGAGTATAGAAATAAACTTAATGGCCAATTGACTTTTGTGTCAAGAGTTTCAAGGCAATTATATAAGGAAAGAATAATATTTTCAACAAATGATGCTGAGACAACTACATGTCCACATGAAAAAGAATAAAGCCAGACCTCACTTCAAACCATTTACAAAAACTAACTCAGAATTGATCATACCATATACAGCCAACTCAGAATGGATAAAAACCTAAATGCAAGAATTAAAACTGTAAAGCTCTTAGAAGAAAATAACAGTTGTAAATCTTCATGATGTTGTATTAGGCAATGTTTTCTTAAATATGACACAAATGTATGGGCAACAGAAGAAAAATATGTAAGTTGGACTTCATCAAAATTATCTTTTGTGCTTCAAAAAACTAAAAAGACAAACCTCAGAATGAGAGAACATTTTTTCAAATTATATATCTGATAAAGGACTTGTATCTAGAATATAAAAGAATCATTACAACTCAGCAGTAAAAGGATAATTCAATTTTTAAAAATGGGCAAAGGATCTGAATAACCATTTCTTTAAAGAAGATATGCAAATGGCCAGTAAGCACATGAAAAGATGCCCAACATCATTAGCTATCAGGAAAATGTAAATTAAAACCACAATGAGATACCACTACACACCCACTAAGATTACTATAATAAAAAAGATAGATAATATTAAATGTTGGTAAGGATGTGGAGAAATTGTAACCCTCATACATTGCTGGTGGGAATGTCAAATGGGGCAGCTCCTTTGGAAGACATTCTGGCATTTCCTCAGTAAGTTAAACATAGAGTTACCATGTGATCCAGCAATTCTACTCTTAGGTATATACTAATGAGAAATGAGAATGTATGTTCACACAGAAATTATTCACAAATATTCACAGTAGCATTGTTTATAATTGCGCCAAAGTGAAAACAACCCAAATGTCTATCAGCTGATGAATAGGTAAACAAAAGGTGGTATAGCCATACAATGGAATATTATTCAGCAATAAAAAGAAGTGAAGTAGTAATGCAACATGGGTGAAAGTTAAAAACATAATGCTAAGTGAAAGAAGTCAGTCATGAAGGACCACATGTTGTATGATATCATTCATATGAAATGTACAGAATAAGCAAATTTATGGAGATAGAAAATAGATTTGTGGTCATTTAGCTCTGAAGGGAGGGAATGTGTGTGGGATGGATGTGTGTGTATGTGGGGTGGGTGATGGCCTGGGTGTGTGGGGTTTCATTTTGGGGTAAAGAAAATGTTCTATAATCGATCGTAGGAGTGGATGCACAAGTCTGAATCTATTAAAAGCCATTCAATATATACTTTAAATATACTGTATACTTTAAATGAGTGAATTGCATGATATGTGAATTATATCACAATAAAGTTTTTTTTTTAATTTGATCATTTTGTAATGTAATGAGTTCAGTGAGAGAAGAGCCCTATATATAATTTGGCAGTGTTTTCAGCTTGCATTTCAATAATCACTGTTGATAGCACCTGCTTTTGAAATGTTCGTTCTCAAAAGTAACTTTCATGTTTTGGATAGACAAACATGTATGAAACCATTTATTTGCTCTGCATTCAGTTTTACCAATCATCAGAGTAGCCACAGATGTTAGAATCATTTGGCATGTAAAATAGAGAAATGTAATTAGAATTACCCAAAAACTAAGAAAAGAAAGCTACATTTGGAAGTAAACTTGATTGACAGAACTAAGATAGTACTGGCTAATTATTGATGATTATGGATCACTGTTGTTTGTTTCATCAGTTTTTATGAACAAAATCATTGTCTTCTGTCACTTCAAAATCTCAGTTAAAAATTGATTCATGGAGTATGAGGAAGTGACATGTAAACTCATAGCATTTGTTTAAGTTTTTTACTTGCCCTACCCAAGTAGGAAAGTTGCATAATCCAATAGTTTTGTTAAGAACTGGGACCGTAATAAATAGCTTGAAAATGAAGATTCTTGATATAACAAACTCTTTATAAATTTAAGCTTTATATTATTACCAATAGAGAAAATTTGATTTGAACAACAGTTTTTACATTTTAATAAAGGTAACAATTTTTTTCTCAAATGTTAACAATTAGAAGAAAAATGTATAAAACAAAGTATTATATTCTATGAATATAATACTTAGTCATATTTGTGACTTTAAGGTTGAATAAGATAATGATAGTGGAAGTTTAAATGGCAAAATGTAGTATCTTAGTGTTAATATATTTAAGTTGTTTTCATTAAATTGGTTCAAATGCAAAATAGCTTTATTTTTCTCTACATGATCCTAAGTAACAATTTTAATTATTTTTTCATTCAGTTGTGAAATTATATAGACCTAGCTATAATATAGATGAATTCTACAGAAATCATTAGAATCTAGAAAGTTTTCATTAATATTACTGATGTTTTAATGATAACTGCAATCATAATAATAGGTTGAAATGTAAGCTTTTCAAAATAGGACAAAAATTACTAATTACTAATGTTTGAGTGTTTGTTGCCTTTACCTTTCCCTGGGCCATTAAAAGGATTTCACTTGGTTTCTTCCCTGCCCTTGACTTCTGGAAAGTGTAGGCCAGAAGCAATTGGGGGATTCTGTGAGACCAGATGGAGAGGAAAGTGAGGTGGTGAAGTAATTTTTCTGGAAATTTTGTGGAGAGGCCTTCTGAAGAAACCCAGTTTGTCCACATAGGAGAAGAAAGAAGGATTTAAAAAAATATTGTTCAAGAAATAAAAGCAAAGAACTTAGGTTATTTTGAAATTAGATTTTACTATCATCAGGTTTCTCTGGCCACAACACAGCTTGAGATTAACAACATGGCTTAAAGGTTTAGTAAAGTTGGAAATTTTTAAACATTTCATTATCGATGATTGGTGTGGAAGTGCAGGAGAAGGGATAACAATCTAATCTGGAAATGGATGGTATTGCAACAAGGTGACATTCATTGTTACGTTTAATTTTTTTGTCAATCAAGATTTGCTGTTTTATTCTGTTAAGGAAAAAGTTTTGTAGCTGATTTATGGCCTACCATTTTTTATCTTATTAATAGCAATTTTATTTACTTTTTTCTCTTTTGGGGGCATTGAACGTTATGTTGGCTTGGGAAAAGGGAATATAGAAAGAAGTAGAGTAAAATTTAATTCTAATATGTCTATAAAACAAACCTGGCAAGTTTATATTTTCTCTTTTTGTCCTGTCATCCACCATATCTTGCTCTATACTGCTAGCCAAATTGTTGGCATTTTCTGTAAGTGGAAATAGAAACATAGTCTTTAAAGTCTAAAGTATCCAGGTGTTAGATCAATTCTTTAGGATTTTAATATCAACCAACATGGCAGTTGCCTTTTTTCTTTTAGCTTTATCTGTTGTCTCAGCACTCAAAATTAAATTTATCAAGATACCACAAGTAAAAGTTTTCTAGAGTAATCCTAGTCATAGTAACTTGTTAGTGAATGATACTCAATTTTATTTGTATTTTAGTATAACCATTACATGCTGTTTCTGTATGTAATGTTTCCAGAATGAAAGAGGAGGAATAATTTTTATAGACTATGACTGCTACCTCCATAGACTTTTAAAGAAAGGTTTCCTTTATTTGACTGGATCCTTTCATGATCAACATCTCTATGAAGTTGTCTGGCTTAAAACACCTGATAATACTTTAGAGCAGAATTGATTGGTTATGTAGGAGAAAATTGGTCTCTTAGGGCTTTCCAGAGGGAACTTAATCATGTGAGATTAATCTGTCATAGATTAGAAAGATAGAGCATCAGTGTTGTTGTTTTTTTCACTCTGTGAAGGCAGAAATTGGGAAAATAAATTGAAAATGTAGAAATGGGAAAGATCAAGTCATCTCTGCTTTTTATTGGTAATATGACCTTGTAAATCCTTTATTATCATTAACACTCAAATTACTTATTGAATAAAATGAAATCTCAAATTTACTAATGAAGTGAGTTTAGAAATAAGTACATAGCTAATCACCTTAAAAACTGGAAATATTCATTAATTAGAATCTAACTTCCTGCGCATTGTTTTCTTGTAGGAAACAAGTCACAAGACAGTGGCATAGCAGAGATGGAAGAACTTCCTGTACCACATAACATCAAAATAAGCAATATTACATGTGACTCATTCAAGATTTCATGGGAAATGGATTCAAAATCAAAGGACCGTATTACACACTATTTCATTGACCTCAACAAGAAAGAGAATAAGAACTCCAATAAATTTAAACACAAGGTAAAATCTAACAAATACATTAATTTGCATTTTAAAAACTTTCTAAGTATGAGGACAGTTTGAAAGAAAGAACAGTGTTCTATTAGTGACTTATATGATATATTGGACATTGGGAAAAATAAAAATTATATGTGATTTAAAAACCCCATCCTTCTAATAAATTTTGTTAGAAAATGAAATGCCATGCTTATTGGTTAGAAGTAAAATCATATAGACATACAAACCAACATGTGTTAAAGATTTTATTTAACTCATTAATGAGCAAACTGAGGAGGTATTACAACCAGATCAAAGACTAATCCATAGAAAAGACTCATTTATAGATCCAGTACATTAAAATGGAAGTACAAGTGGAATCAAAACTGGTTTGGAAGGGGTAGGGGTAGGGGGAAGAGGAGGATTGTTCTCCACTAAATAGAATTCATTTCATATATTTAGACAAAAATAACTGAATTTTTATCAATTTCTACAAATTATAGAGTTGTAAAATAGCTTCCATAGCAGAAGCAGATAGTGAGAGGAGTGTGCTATAAGCAAGGCATAGTTTTCCATTGAAACACACAGTTGTTCCCCCTGTCCCGCCACGTAACAACTGCAAAAAAAGGAATCTACTGTAGTTTATAAACTTTAAGGTATTTGTTAAAACACTTTAGGGCTGAAAATTGCTTTACATAGTCATCTTTCTTTTGCTTTTCATTTTTGTTTTGAATTTTTTTGTCTTTTGCTTTTTTGTTTTGAGAATAAAAATTGTTAACCTCTAGAGGTTTTAGATATATAATATTTCTCTGATATTTAGTCACATATCTATCTGCATACATCTTTCTGATATATATCTCCTTCCAGAAATAACTATAGAGAGGATAACAGTTATCTGATTTAGGTATTCTTTCTTATGTTTCATTATTTTGACTGATGATGACAATCTGGTGTATTTTTTAATATTGACACTAATTTTAACTTGGGAAATATTTTGGAAGAACTGTCTTGTCTGGAAATTTTGCCTTTTATTAGATGTGCAATTATACATACTAAAGATAAGTATGGATCAGACATATTATAGATAAGTGTGAAAGTGAGAACAAGATTGATCAGTCAGTGTTTTTCCCGAGTTCCAATTCTGATTATGCTTTCTGGTGATGGATATTCTCTGCTAACATTTGCCTTCTGCATGCGCCTTTGAAATATTTAGCATTAAATGATGAATAGTTCGAGATTTGACCCCTTTTCAAGAATTGACCTCTACACTTAGAATACTATATCCTTGAAAATACAGTGAATATTCAACTAACAGATTTAATTACCTTATTAATCATTGTTTAGAAATACCTAAACTTTTGTGTGACACATAGACTCTATGCTTGAATAAAAATAAAACCAATATTACCTCATTTATATGTAAAATAGACTCATTTATTTTAAAAATGTTCCTTTTATTTTGTATATAAAATATCTAGTAATGGGCAGCTCTATTAAAATCATTGGGTAGTACAAGTTAAATATATTTTTAATATTAAATCTATTTTATCTTTTTTTTGTTTCATTGTTTAGTAAAAGAATGTTGCATTTTGAGAAGCATATAGTGTACAGAGAAGAACACTATACTAAAAATCAAAAAAACTGGAATCTAAGTACATTTATGTTATTAACTAACTGTATGACCTTGAGCATGTCTCTTGATCAAGTTGAGTTGGGCCTTAGTTTTTGCATATGAAGAATAAGAAATTTAAATATAAAAATTATTATAACATGTATCTTTAAATAGGAAAATTCTCTTGTCAGCCAGGAATTTAACACGTTCCTCTCCATTGTTTACAATTAAGTAAAGTTATACTACTAAATTAGCTTCCTTCCTTCCTTCCTCCCTCCCTCCCTTCTTTGTTTCTTAGGATGTACCAACAAAATTGGTGGCAAAAGCTGTCCCTTTGCCTATGACTGTCCGTGGACACTGGTTTTTGAGCCCAAGAACTGAATATACAGTAGCAGTGCAGACAGCCTCAAAACAAGTTGATGGTGATTATGTTGTGTCCGAATGGAGTGAAATTATAGAATTCTGCACAGCAGGTAAGAGGAGTAGGTACACATATCAAAAGAAACCTTTATTTAATTGTTCCTGGAAAGTTAATGACAGAAAAAATATTTCTTTTTTGTAATTATAAGGTGATATGTATTACATTGGTTATTTATGCATTGTCAGTAGCTTTGGGTAACAGAATAAACCATTTTGTATTGATTTGAGGGAGCTAAGGTTCTCAGCAGAATCTGGGTAATGGCGTCAAATCACTTTGCTGTATCCATAGTTTGATTTTTTTAGAGTGAAAGCTTTACAAATAAAAATTGATGCCATTGAAAATATACTCAGCATATTTTTTAGCTTCATTTTGAGAGGGAGAGATTATTCGTCTTTATCATTTTTATTTTTTTCATGTTTTTATTTTCACAGATACTGAAAGAAAAAAGCAAGGAACTTCTTTCTTTAATTTAGGGCAATGGAGGCAGATCTCAATCATTGTCTGTGGCAAAAATGTTACTAGATTTTTCACCTTAATGCTGGAAGATCTTAAGAAAAACTCTTTAAACTAGTAGTTTGTGTGTGTGTGTGTGTGTGTCTTTGCTTCATTAAAAAGTACCTCAAGTCATTTGGCATTGGGAGAGCTGATGTGGACATCCTGTCCCCTTTAATCTTGAACTGTATCTTAATATTCCATCAGATTGGGAATGTTACCATTTGTCTCATTCATTTATCTAGTGTTGACTCATTCATTCAAGAAACAGACATTTATTGAGCACTTAGGTGTTGAAGGACTACAACGATATCTTTACCTGAGTACTTCTAGCATCCTCTCCTTTTGTCTCTTAGTATGGGACTTTGTTTACTTACTCTTTTTGTGCCTAGATGACTTTTCTTTACCTGAGTACTTCTATGATCCTCTCCTTTTGTCTCTTAGTATGGGACTTTGTTTACTTACTCTTTTTGTGCCTAGATGACTTTCTGATTAAAAAATCATAGGAGAAGCTGAATCTAAGAGGAAGTTAAGCTGTTTAAAGCTGTTATTTGTGTTCATCAGACTAATTTGGAGACTATTTCACCTAAGCTTCATCAACAACTTTGACTCTAAATTTTAATAAAGCCATTTTGTATAAGTTGCATTCTAATATGAACATCTAATTCACTGAACATTTGTTGAGAGTCCATACTGTGAGCTAGTCACTTTGCAAGTTACTGGAAATAAAATAGAGTGCCAAAGGCTAATCTACTTCTATTCTAGTCTATGACAGGGATAAAACCCTGTGTTTACCCTGAGCTTAAAGCGTTTATATTATACTTACAATAAGTCATTATCATCTGTCATCTCTCCCCTTAGACTTTCAGTTCTTTGAAGGGAAAAATATTTTTTTATCTTTTAATCTGATTGTCTAATTTTGCATGGTGCTTTGTACATCATATGTTCTAATTTAAATAAATGTATGTTGAGCCAATGAAGCAGTAAATAAAAAACTATGCTACCATGAGCAGTTTAACTAGGTTGCTTGTGTTTGAAAAGTCTTATTAATCTTTATAGAACAAAAATTTTCCTTAGTTTCTGGTTCAGGAGTTAGACAACGATTCTCAAACAACTTTCAAAACAAAAAGTTGGTAAAAAAAAAAATCAGATTAGTTTGACAGATTTTCAAGAGTCTTGTGTGCTCAAGTCTTGTGTACTCATTATTTCTACTGTCCAACTTTGCTAATGATTGCAGATTATAAGCATTTATTCATTTGTATCAAATAATTGAAGAAAAGCTAGCATAGTGCTAATGGACATAACTTGGGTTATGAAAGTTATTTAACGTATTTTTGTTTTTTGTTTCAATATCTCTAATTTCAATTTCAAAAAGTAAAAATGCAAGGATATTCTAAGAAACAACCATAAATCACAACAAAAATATTTTTTGTAGAAAGAAAAATGTGTCACACAAAGACAATGAATATTTTTTTAAATGCAATTTCCTGTTCACTAAATTGAATTCCCTAAAGGTGAATTTTAATAATCTCTAATTTATTAAATATGTAGTTGATACTTTGGTGCTATATTTTTAATAAGTCTTTTTTTGTTTATTCAGACTATTCAAAAGTTCATCTAACACAACTGTTGGAGAAGGCTGAAGTGATTGCAGGACGTATGCTTAAATTTTCTGTTTTTTATCGTAACCAGCACAAAGAATATTTTGACTATGTTCGGTAAGAATCAAAAAATATATAGTGATATTTATTTATTTATTCATTCATTCATTCATTCATTCATTCATTCATTCATACTAAACATGGTTTCAAATTTTAGGTTTAGGTTTCCGTAGACTCTAGTTCTGTCAAATAGCAATTCTAGTTTTCTTTTCAAAATAATTATACTGATTTTTATTTTCCAGAAAAATTAAGTAGAAAAAGTCAGATCATGGGATTTTTCCCACTCAGATTCCCTTCCATAATCATTTGTAATGCCAATTCCTATCTATTTCACTGGAAAATCTTAAACCTGTGGTGTTTAGATTGATGAGCATTTCATGTATACACTCCTCCTCTAATTCCCAATAACTCCCTGATGCCCTCTGCATCATACTGACTACTAAATTTGCTCCTCTTTTTGTGAGTCACTACAAGACATTGAAAATGAGAGAATAAACTGGTGACTTTTTCATGAAATATTGTGGTGAATCATGGGATTTGTAGGCTTCTAAGTGGAAATCCTTTAGCCATTATTAATGAGGACATTAGTCTTTATTTACTTTTGAATTCCAGTGATATGACTACTATTTCTGAGATAGCCTATTTTTATCCCTAGAAGCAGTTACCAAGACATTAAAATAACTCTATCCCACAGGTAGTTGTAATATTTACAGCACTTTTGTATTTGTAGAAGAAAATTTCAAGAGGATAAATAGGTAGGTGCATGTTTTAAAGTAATACTCAGGCTTTTGAAATGACAAATGCTATATAGGTTCTAAAACTTCTACACAGTAATGCCTATAATTTGTCATTTTAAAAGCCTTTGTCTAGGCCGGGCTCTGTGGCTCACGCCTGTAATCCTAGCTCTTGGGAGGCCGAGGCGGGCGGATTGCTCAAGGTCAGGAGTTCAAAACCAGCCTGAGCAAGAGCGAGACCCCGTCTCTACTATAAAAACAGAAAGAAATTAATTGGCCAACTGATATATATATAAAAAATTAGCCGGGCATGGTGGCGCATGCCTGTAGTCCCAGATACTCGGGAGGCTGAGGCAGAAGGATCACTCAAGCCCAGGAGTTTGAGGTTGCTGTGAGCTAGGCTGACGCCACGGCACTCACTCTAGCCTGGACAACAAAGTGAGACTCTGTCTCAAAAAAAAAAAAAAAAAAAAAAAAAAAACTTTGTCTCACTTCAGATTCTAAAGGATTCTTAAGTTGACAGGACTATATAGAAAAATATTTAGGAAGCTTTATCAAGTTCTTTTGTTTGTTTTTGTCATACTTTTCTAATTTCTCTTAAATCAAGATCATGGTTCCAGATTTAAATTGGCTCCAAACTGTGGAAGATACAAAGGGAATCATAGAGAAAAAAGTATATTTAGGGATATGTATTATTCATATTAAGTACTTTGTAATATCATATACTTTTATATATTTTGATGGTAAAAAACATTCTCGCCTTTGTTTGAATATTTTATAAATACAGAGTTTAGTCCATCATTCTCTTAAGTGGTTTTTACCCTAGAGTCTATATAATTCTTGATGGATGCCATTCACCTAATTTAGAGAGTACAAACTGATAGATACAACATAAATTATTGTACTTGTCAATTTCTGATTGGAAATGACCATATATACTCAACAAGGAAGGTGTTTCTTTATACAGATGCTCCTTGACTTACGATGGGGTTATGACCCAATAAGCCCATCGTAAATTGAAAATATCATCGGTTGAAAATAGTTTCACACACCTAACCTACCAAACATCGTAGGTTTAGTAGCCTGCCTTAAACTTTCTCAGAACACTTCCATTAGCCTACAGTTAGGCAAAATCACCTAAACACAAAGCCTATTTTATAATAAAGTGTTAAAAAGACCAAATTTTGAAGTATGGTTTTTACTAAATGCATGAAGCTTTCACACCATCATAAAGTCAAAATATTGTAAGTGGGGCGATTGTAAGTTGGGAATTGTTTGTATTTGTTAAGGATAAAATTTGAAAACAAAAAAAATCTCCACTATTGCTGTTGTGTTTAGTAAGAACTACATCAACAGAATAATTATATCTTTGGTGCTAGTATTAGATTTTCTGAAGTTATTACCAATGTCTATTTTAGGTGGCCACTGGAGGTCAGTATTTCTCTATGATTTTCCCTGTCCTTTTGATGGGAACTGACCTTTGTTTTCAGGTCCTTCAGTAATCTAAAATTTGCTCATCTGTTTTCAGAAATGCTTGCAAGAAGAAAAAATACAAAGACAAAGCACATAGAGAATGGATAAAATTATTGTGTATATTGTATGACTTGATTCCAGGCTTCTAGTATGAAAGATGTATTTACTAACAAGGATATTTCTTTGTTGAATTTTCCATAATGATAGTTGTGAAATCCATGTAAATTACATCTTAATATAGTACATATAAATAAATATGCTTGCCAAGGCATGGGTACAATTTTTCAATATTGCTTTTTTTAAATAGGCTTATTAAAAAATAGTAGACAACCATGTGCTTTTTTTATATATAAAAAAATAGTAGACATTAACTTCAGTGGATCTTTGTTTTCTTTTATGTAGTAAACTGTAGTTGGGACATATTGCCTTGGTTAAAATCCATTTAAAATCTCATCTTATTATCCAGAATAAGATGAGATTTTATAGAATCTCATAGAAAGGAACTTTTTGAATAGAAAGGAACTTGAATAGAAAGGAACTTTTCAATTATCTGACAAACTTCCCAAATCATTATAAATTATGAAAACTTGACAAATTTTGAGTCAGTCCACAGGAATTAAGTCATTTTGATCTCTTCCTCTAGAAATGAATTCCTAAGTGAACATTGCTTTCCCATACTCCAGATGAAAGTACCACTTTGTCTCTTACCCTTTGTTCATGTTCACTGGGAGGCCAGCTGTCCTTAAAACTCCTTTTATATCTGAAAGTCTTCTCTTTAGGAATCCACTGAGATTGGTAGATTCATGTACTTTCGATGTCAGATTGTATATCCTCAAAGTTGAAGTTATGTCACTTATAGAAGGACACATTTCCTAGTCTAAACTCCTGTTTATATGTTCATTGCGGTTATTATTTCATATAATTGAAATAATCTACAACTCATAGATCCACATAGGACACAGATCATATACATATTTGGGTTTTGTTAATGAGAATGTAACTAGGATAAGCAATTTTAACCAGGGATAACATGGAGTAGACACTCTTCTCCCTGTTTCTCCCACTAAATACAACTAAAAACCCTGGATGTTATATATAAAAGAAATATAAAAAGATTCTGTAAGATGGAAAGAAGATGGTAGACCAATTAAGAACCTCAGAACTCAAGGAATGGCACAGTGATGAGTTCCTGGGTTTTCTTTTTACCTCTTAAAATTCTAGACTAGGTGCTAGAGAAGCTGGCTACCCATAAATGCTAATGGGCACTGACAAAAAAAAGTAAACCAGAAAGTCTGCTTTTTCTACCCTATGGATAAGGAAAGGGACGGCCTTAAATACAGAAAACTTTTAGACAATAACCACCCTATACCAGCCAAATACCATGGAAAAAGCACTGCAGTCCCATATCAATCAGCCAAGACCAAGTGGAGAACCTAGCCCTCTATCCTCTCACAGCTATAAGGAGGCATCCTTCTCCTCTCTCCATCCCCTACTAGGGTGGCATCAGAGAAGGCTGAATGAGGAGTCTAGACTTTCTACCACTGCCCAGAGGCAATGAGGCTTGCCCTCACAGTGTCAGTGAAGGCCACATCAGGAGGAGTAGGGAGATACTGTCACAGCTAGAGTGTGTTAGCAGAAGCCTTGTGTGAGCCTAAACTCTCACCTCATCTCAGTAATAACTGACCCCCAATCCCATATAATTGGAGAATAAGTGGGAAACTTGGATATTTTTCCCCATCTGACAGCAATGAAGTACCACTCCCTACACTTCCTCCACTTACAGTACATAGAAGAGACCTGCTAAAATACTAGATTTAAATAAGGTCCAGAGTCTAATAACATAATACTCAAAATGTCCAGAATACAATTGAAATTCACTCACCATACCAATAACAAGAAAAATCTTAACCTGAATGAGAAAAGGTGATCAAAGATACCACCAATGCCAAAATTACATAGACGTTGGAATTATCTGACAAAGATATTGAAGCAACCACCATAAAATGTTTTAACAAGCAATGACAAACACACTTGAAACAAATTAAAATAGAAGCAGAAAAATAATAGAAGATAAAAAGAAGTGAAGATTTTAGAACTGAAAATAACAGTAAATGGAGTTAAAAAAAGAAAACTCAATGATGTACACAGCAGATTCAAGAGAGCAAAGGGAAAAAAAGTAAACCTGAAGGTAGAATAGAAATTACCAAAATTAAGCAACAGAGATAAAACTGACCAAAATATCTAGCAGGGCCTCATGGATATATGGGACCATATCAGATCTATTATAATATTCATGTCATCAAAGTCAAGAAGGAAAGGAGAAAGAGGATGGCTGAAAAAGCATTCATAGAAATAATAGTTGAAATGTTCCTGAATTTGGCAAACAACATAAACATGCAGATGGAAGATGAGAAAAATCCAAATCAGGAAAACCCAAAGAAATCCATGCCAAGGCACACCATAAACTTCTGAAAACTGAAGACAAAAAAAAAATCTTGAAGATGGTGAGAAAGAAAAGTTGCCTTTATGTATAGGGGAAAACAATTTGAATGACAAAATCATCAGAAAAAAACCACTGAGGCCAAAAAAAAGTGGCACAGTATTTTCAAGTGCTGAAAGAGAAGTGACAACCCAGAATCCTATATCCAATGAAAATATCCTTCAAGAATAAGGGAGAATCAAGACATGCCTAGATGAAGGAAAACTATTAATAAGAAAATTTGTCACCACCATATACCTACACTAAAAGAATAGCTAAAGGAAATTTCTGAAACAGGAAGTAATAAAAAAAAGGGATCTTGAAATGTCAGAAGGAAAAGAGAACAGCAGTAAGAGTAAAAATATAGGGTCCAATCCAGGATATCACACTGCATTTGTCATGTCTCCCTATTCTCCTATCTGTGACAGTTTCTTCATGTTTCCTTGAATTTGCATTTTTAATAAGCTCCCTAGGTGGTTTTTAGTTGGTAGAATTTGAGACTCGTTATTCTAAAGTCAAGAGCAGATCCTGAGTACACCTGACTCACATACTCTTTAAGAAGCATGTTGACTGGGAGAACTTTCCCTTGCCTGAGTGACTTTTCATCCCAGGTCATGCTGGTCAGGGATATAGCAGACAAAAAAAAAAAAAAAAAAAGAAGGCACACTTGGAGAATTATGGAGAGAATTTAACAAAACTTCTATTAACAGAGGTATAATCAGGGTTAAGGTAACTAATAAGGGATGCTAAAGCAACAAGGAACTATCAAGAGGGCAAAGGTTTTATTCTTAGAAATGGAAGCAGGAGATCATCAACCTAGAGCAGTAGTCAGAGATATGTACTGTGTTTCCCCGAAATAAGACATGGTCTTATATTTATTTTTCCTCAAGACGACACCCTAGGGCCTATTTTCAGGGAATGTGTTATTTTTTTTAAGTATGGTACAACAATCTACATTTATTCAAATATAGTTAAGTCATCTTCTTCTGGAACATCATCATAACTCTCCAAACCCGGAATTCCATCCTGAATTACTTGCAACTCTATTTCCTTTAGAACCATTGGCCCCGCTCTCTCATGTCAAGCAATAGAGCTCTCATAGGGCAGATGAGAAGGGCTGCTGGTCGTCTTTACCGCTCCGCGAGGAAATGCATGGGTTGTGCAGATACTGCATAGCCACGCCCATTAGTAGGTCTTATTTTGGGGGTAGGCTTTATATTGCACAAATGCTTATAATTTGAAATTACAGATCATAAAAATTATAAAAATTTAAAAGTTATAAATTATAAAAATTATAACAGAAATCCTGCTAGGACTTACTTTATGGGTAGGTCTTATTTTCAGGGAAACACAGTAGTTCTAGAAGAACCCAGCCCTGCCAGAACCACAAGGCTCTGAAGCATGGAGGAAATAGAGGAAGACACACCCCAGGCTTTACCTCCTCCTCTTACCCTAGATCTGCTGGTGCTTCCCATTGTTAGAACTGAAATGAAAGGGACCAAGTGACAAGGAAGAACTAAATGATGGAGCCCCAAGCCACAGTGGAAGGCAAGAAAGGTGGAGAATGGTCTGGGGTTGTGGTAAAGGGAGAATAATCAGTGCTGTTTTAGTAAAATGTCAGAGAAATAACCTTAGTACACTGTGCCTGGGTATAAAATCCAAAACAAAACACTTTTGTGCCAATGTAAGTGGATAGCACTCATTTTATGACTAAATTCTAGCATACTATAAGAAACATTCAATATATTTAGCAAATACTTTCACTTCATTTTTCTCTTTAGAAAGCCATTTCTAAAACCCAGTAGGCATATAATGAATGTGACTTCACCTGTTAGATTTCTAATTCCAATTTGATTTTTTTGGCTAGGAAATTTACATTATTACATTAAAGGTCTCCAAAGTTTTTAGCAGATCATCCTTACCTTAAGGTCAAAGCTAAAATTAAGCTATCTATAGGTAATGTCAAAGGTGCATTCCCCTTGATCTGATATAGTATCATTCAGGCCTTTAACTGTAGATGGTTGACTTTGGGGCTATTAGAATCTATAAATCAGGAGGTTTACTACTATTATACTAAGCAGTGACCATTTGTGTTCTCTTGCAGAGAACACCATGGGAATGCTATGCAGCCCTCTGTCAAGGATAACAGTGGTAGCCATGGCTCTCCTATCAGTGGAAAATTAGAAGGCATCTTCTTCAGCTGCAGCACTGAATTCAATACTGGAAAGCCACCCCAGGATTCACCTTATGGAAGATACAGGTTTGAGATTGCAGCAGAAAAACTTTTTAACCCCAATACTAACTTATACTTTGGGGACTTCTACTGTATGTACACTGCTTATCATTATGTGATTCTTGTTATTGCCCCTGTGGGATCACCAGGAGATGAATTTTGTAAGCAGCGCCTTCCTCAACTAAATTCCAAGGATAATAAATTTTTGACCTGTACAGAAGAAGATGGGGTGCTGGTTTACCACCATGCCCAGGATGTAATTTTAGAAGTCATTTACACTGACCCTGTGGATCTTTCTCTGGGCACCGTGGCAGAAATCACTGGTCATCAGCTCATGAGTTTATCTACTGCAAATGCAAAGAAAGATCCCAGCTGCAAAACCTGTAATATCAGTGTTGGACGTTAATGCCCACTTTTCTTAACTCAGACCCTTTCCTTCCCTTAGGAGCATTGATCCTCTGTTGTCCATTTTCATTACCAGATGTTTTTCACTGAAGCATGCACATGCCGCTATCACCAAAAGCAAACTACCACTTTTCAAATTTCATTCAGAACCATTTTAGTGTTTCCTATTCCCTACCCTTTCCACTACTTTCGATGATGAAATAGCCTAAGTTCTCCTTTTGACACTTTATTGCCTAGATGCTGCAATGTTTTTATTTTTCCTATATGCCAAACATAACAAAACAGTTATATAGACCGCTTTAGCAAAATACAAAATAATGGCTTATAAATGGTGTTTAAATATGCATTCATTTTAATCTACTGAACAAATATTGGGATAACTCCAAACCGCATGAAAGGGTGTAATTGCAGCATGAGTTAAATCTTGAAGCCTAGAATTGTCAGCACTTCCAACTTGTTGTTTGACAGTGTTATTTATGTTATTTATATTAGCTAACAGGAAACAACTACTGTGTTTCAACATAATAAATATAATAGAAAAATATTTTATTTGTATTGTTGTATAAAATATTTACAATCATATAGAATATATAGAGTTACATTTTAATAGCAATTGTATACATGTCACGAAACCATTTCCCTTATCAAAGATGTAATTTGTAAACCTCAAATAGTTGTGTATCTGTCCTGTTACAAGTAGATGACTTCAATTAAACAAATTTATGAAGGACATTATTCTGATTCATAAAAATTATAAAATGTCAGGTAAATACAGAGAAAACAAGCCTCTGAAATAGTCTGCTTCTGATATAGTCAGTATTCTTCCCATCCAAACTATATGAAAATGTGAATTTCAACTTTATGCTTAAACATTACAGAAAATAGAAATACAAACATGGTTGGTACATAAGAGAAAATGTTGACCTTTTACTTGTTTTTACAAAAACCAAAATAAAAAATGTGTTTTAATACAAAATAATATATACTAAAGTTGATGAGGCAAATAAAATATTCTGGCTTCTTTTCCAAGGTGTCATGGCAAACAATTTTTAAACCTTTCCTTTTGTATAGAATGAAGAATAACCACAGCTCATGAGAAAGTTTGACTTTACAAAGTATAGACCTTGGAACATTAAGAAAAATGCATATTCCCAATGGAAAAATAGTTATATAATCTTATAGTAAACAAAAAGATTAGCAATAATACTATGGTCACATTAGATTATATACTGCAGACACATCTATCCAAAATACCTATTTTAAAATTTTAATATTTTATTTTAATATAAACATCTGTCAATTATAGACAAAGATAATAATTCACAAAGTACATGCTATCAGAATGAACTTTGGTAACCAGAAATGTAAAATTTCAAATAACAGATAAAATAATGTATTATTTTTATATAGAAATAAAAAAGTTAGTGACACATTCTAGGATATTTTAGGGTACTAAAAGCCTAGCAGACTTAAGGGACAAGGTAGTAGAGGTTTTTATCACTTAAGAATCTATAAGAAGTTTCAAATAAGTTACTTTCTTACTAGCCGTATTCCTTTCTGTATAACAAGCAGAATTTCTGTTCCTCCTCTGATTTTTTTAAATTATGGTCTTTTCCATACATCAACATAAACAATCTTTGGATTCTAAAACTTTCCCTAACAAGTGGCCCAGCTATGTTATTTGGACTTAATAAAACATTAGATGCTTTTGAAATAATTATATTGACTGAGTTTTCTCCTTGGCATGGAGGAGGCTGAAGCTTTTTTCCAATTATATGACTACCTGTTATATTTTTCCCCCATTAAATCCCTTCTCATTGTTTACAATTACACTTGCTATCCTTTCTTAAAAACAGCTAATGCTACCACTAAAGTGCTTCCATTTTCGGTATGTCAAAACTACTTAGCAAGAATGGCAAAGAAAGTAAATTTGACTATCTTGGGTAAAAGTGATCATAAACATTTCCTGAACCTCAGATAGTTTTGGCCACATCTTGCTTGCTGATAAGGACCTCTAATAGTCTCAGTTTGGCTTTTATGTGCTTGTATTCATAATATTCATCTGCCATTGGTATCCTATCTTCCTTTTGTGGACTTCTGCAAAACAGAAAATACAGTCTGTTAGTTCATAATGAATCAAGTCATTAAATATCTGTTTATAATTCATATGTGAGGAAGTGTATGGTAACAGCTTCCATTTGGTTTCTATATCATGTCTTCTTTACCTTCCCCTTCACTTTCATTCACTCCTGCTTCTATGTGTTATTAAATTTCTAAAAAATAGTACCCTTTAAGAACTTGAATGTCATAGGTGTTTTGCAAATATGTAGTCCATTGCTTAGACATATAACAATGAGGCAAGTGAAAAGATCTGAGGAGAAAAAACAAAAGCCAGAACCTTCAAGGCATTCCTTATCTAGTCATTCTGTTATCTTCCACAGTCCCACACCTATGCAGAGTGTTCAGCCCTTATAGTAAGAGTTGTTAAAAATAACTGGAAAATACTATAGAAACTTGATTATACAAATAATTTATATTTTTATGGTGACAGGAAACATTTAGTTGATGTCTTACAAACTGGAAACATTTCCAAGTTTTTTGTAGTTGTAACACCTTTCCCTGCTAATGTGTAGTAGAATCACTGTCTCTCTTGATTGAATTTATTAGTCTAAATTGTAGTGGTTCTCTTCTAGATGCTAATTTTACTAAGACTAGCCATAAAACAATGTATAGTTTTTTTGTATATATGCAGTCTGTATGTTCTTGCTATTTAGTTGGAAGAATACTTTGGTAACATCTGGAGTTAAAACCATCTGCCTTCCCACAAAAATATGCTGTCAGGATATATGTTTTCTAAAGGGAAATAATTGGTACAGGGTCTCAGAAGGCTCTTGTCTTCTTGGTTAATAAGATAGCCAATTGTCTTTAAAATATTTGCACCCATGACTTTGAAATGCAAGGGGTAGAAGACACAGATATAGTCACCACAATTAAAACTGAATATAAACACAAATACTCTCTATTAGTAGAACTGAAACTGGGTAAAGAGCAAATATCTGTAGCCCCCTTCTATTTTCCTAGTAGTGATAAAGAGATATTTCTGTCTCTTACAAGTTAAAAAAAAAAACAAAAAACCAAGCTTATCGATAAAGCTTCATTAAGAATGTAGTATCTACTTGTCTTGCACCACTGTTTACTGCTCTGAAATTTCTAGTACAGAGCTCACAACAGCACAGAAATACATAGACAGGGTTCCTCTTAAATGTTACCTAAATTATATAACATAAATCCTTTACCTCCATTCTGTGTTATGGGCCAAACTTATAACTGGGTGTCTGAATACTACCTTAATTTATATAAATAGATCTAAGTGAAGAAATTGTCTAATTATTACAGTGGAACAATAATAATGGACTATATAACTTTTCCCTAGTCCTGCATATTCCATTTTAGCTAACAAACAAGAGCACTTTGACAAAAATGAAAAATTTTGCTAAGAATTTTTTGAAGCAGTTTCCTCATTATATAAAACATACTAATGTGCTTAGCACAGTTCCTGGCTCATAATTTGTAATAATAATGCCATATCAATATGGTTATCATGTTTCTTGTATAGCAGATATTACCAAGAACATTTACAATGCCACAAAACATTATTTTATCTTATGTAGGCCTAACCATTTAGGCCTTCCTAATAAAATGTCTTAGGAAAAAACAATTAAGGTCCATATTTCCTAGCCATTCAACTGATTTTAAGTAATAGATCACTTTTGCATTTAGTTGAAAAATGTCACCACAAGAGGGCACACAACTTCATAGCCAAATATAGGCATATCTGAAGTGGGTTTAGGACTCACAGATGCAACAGAATACTATACATAGAACATAAGTAACTTCTCTATATGTCAAAAGGCATGCCAAGTAACACTGCAGATCCATTAGGCAGGTCTAGTAACACATTGGGAAGTAGACAAATTCTTTAAGATACACATAGGTAGAAATGTAAATTTATTCAGGGAACTCAGGTATGAAAAGAATGTATGCACATCTTAAAGTGTGTCATTTCTCATGTGTAATGAGTATTTAGATTTAGAATACTTGATAACATCTCCCCAAATATTTCCTTGAATGAAAAATTCCCACAGAATACTTTTATAATCTGAAAGAGGCAGAAATCAGGAAATTTAATGCAAGTCATGTATATACCCAAAGCATAATACAGCACAGTCCAGACAAAAATCACTATTCCAAGGAATGTTTCACAAGGAAAGTTGCATGAATGTTTTGTGAAAGAAAAAAGCATGGAAAAAGAAAAATAAGAAATTATGTTTTATGTTCTAAATTTAGCAGCCACATAGCATTTCTCATTAGACAACATCAGCAGAAAGGTAACTTGGACATGTACTAATCAACTAGAAAGAAAGATTCCAGGTAGAAAAAAAATTGGGTTACATTTATATTTGTTGAATGGAAAAAGTTTCTCACTGAACAGGTCCAGTCCTAATGAATAGCCCTGGTAGACTGAAATGGAAAAGCTTCCAAGGAATAAGAGGTGAATAGTTGAAGATTGAAAGTGTCAAGATGCCTTTAGAAAATAGTCCCTTCTCCATCAGGTCAAACCTAAAGTCTGCTGAACTGAAAGCATTTCAGGGAAGGCAGATACCTAGATGGAGAGAAATATGGAAGAACCAGTGTAGCACTGACTCCAGTGCTTATGCTCTAAAATTCAAAGGAAGAGTTTAATCTCATCTCTGCTACTTAATAACTTTGTGACTTTAGGAAAGTTGTACCCTTTATTTTCTAAAGACTGATGTCTCATGTGACAGATGTAGCTTCCCAAAATATCCCATGAGTCCAATCATTTCAGTTTATAAAGGTGGAAACTGAGTCTCAGGATAAGCTGAGTGATTTTTTCCTCTCTTCCAAAAGTAGATCAGTGACCCTTATTTCCTGATTATGTAATTTTGTTGATGATAGAGCAAAATTTAGAGGAAGCTAGTAGAGCATATAATGAGACTTGGATTGACACAGAAAAATAGAGGATAAATAGAGGATATAGCTAACTATTTAAGGAGTGGAAAAAATGGCTATGAATTTTTTTACCAAATCCTGAAATAAAATAATTAGGGGCAGACCCTGAATTTTAAAGAAGATATTTAAAGCAAATGAAGAATTATTATTTAATTTAAAGTAGGGAATAACTTGTAAAACTAAGAAGCTAGGAACAAAGCAATTTTATGAGCTAAAAAGTCAAATACATAAATAAATTTAACAGTTATAATGTAATTTATCATGCAAAGTTAGGTATTTTAGAGTTTATCCTTTATTTCTTAAAGGTTGATATCATACTTGATAGCTGTAGCCTCCCATAAAACATCCCTAATAATGGCACTATCAGAATGTTACATTGGACAAATCCTGAGTCTAAGCTAGTGTGGAAATTATGTACATTTTGTGTAAAGTCACTGTTCCTACAAAAAAATTGCAGCTCATTTTTGACAATAGTTCTCTAGGAATATTAATTTTAAAAAATTCTGTCCACACTTACCTTCCTGTTTGCTTAAAAAACTGTTCTTCAAATTCTCTTAAGGCTTTCCGCAGTCTCTTCTTGTCAGCCCTAGTTTCTCGGAGATGGTCAAGAAGTACAGGCCTATATCAGGTAAAATATATATTTGCCATTACTAAGCACTAACATAATTGAGAAAGCAGCATGAGCAGACTTATCTGATCATCAATAAAAAGCATATTATGATCAAAAAGTGTTCTGACCATAAAAGAGTATCTTTTGGGTAAGTATGGCAAACACAGAGCCTGACTACAGGGGACCACATAAGCAGGGAAAATTACCTGATGGAAACAATTTCATAGAAAAGAAGGACAAACAAGAGGCAAGCGGATTGAGTCCGCTGTAACAAGTGGTGAGGGTAATGGCAATATGAATGGGCAAGGGAGGAACAGACATTTTGAAGGAATACTCATCATTATTTGGTGATAGACTGAACATAAGAGACATAAAGATTTTAAAGAGAGTTCTATCCTAGAAAACTCTAGAGTACAGGGAGAAGGGCAAAACCCTTGGGAATGAAATTAAGATCCAGAATAAAGGTACAGTTACATTGCAAATTCTATTCATTGTCCTAAGAGAGAAAAGTCATATACCTCAGAACAGGAAATTTGGTATACACAAGCATACCAAACTTGTGCATGGTTTTAGAGACTCTATGAACTTCCTGAAACTACATATGGTAATTTTATTAAAAAAATAAATAAAGATATTTCATTGATTTCAAAAAAGTCCAACACCTTCCAAAAAGTCATGAATAACTGCTTTATACCAACCACCAACAAAACAAAAGGAGTTTCTGCTTCCAACAGGTCAAACTTCCTGAAATTGGTACCACCTGATTCTACAAGCATACTAAAATCTCAGTCTCAGCTTATAACTTAGTCCTTGGTCTCACCTCATCTTTATTTTGGGATATAAACTCACTGCACTATATAATACATGTTCAAGAAACTCTCATAATCTGGGCTGTAAATATTCAAGCCAAAGAAGGCCAAATGATCATGAGGACTGCCAGCTACTGAATAATGATAATACTAATACTAATGAAAATCAAAATGGTTCCCAACTAAAGGGCCACTAGGAGGTTAAGGGCGACTCATTTCCTTAAGGCCAAGAGAATTTCCAGTCTAGAGAAGGTATCTCATCTAAATGGAAGAGACTAGGATAAAGGCCCTGAGAACCATTGACCCACACAGGATCCTAACCCCTTTGGGTACAGCATTTTCAAAGGCCAGCCCTGCTTCACACACTTCCAAGAGTTAAACTGCTGCCAGCACCCTGTTGAAAAGAGGTGTGATTATAGCAAATTGAATATTATCATTTATGGCATTGTTAGGACTTTATTGGGAGCTATGGCTCCTCATGACTTTGTCTTTTAGTTTTTTCAGTTAAGAAGACAACTGGATTATGCTTTTAGGGCTACTCTCTGGTGGATAGCACTTTTTAAAGAGTCTAATATAGCTCTTTTTAACTTTGTATGTATGTACAAGGTACATAAAATCAAAAGGAGTTAAAAGGAGACTCCATACTTCGGATTCAGACTCACATGGTGGCCTCATGTAAATTGGACATGGAGAGAGCTGGTTGTTTTACTTCTTTCTTTTCATCCGGTAGCAGGGCCCTAACAGGCTCAGTCTCAGTAGAGTAGGCGAGGTGGTCGCCAACAGGAAGGTGAGACGCTGGATCTGGCAAAGAAGATAGTTGGCTTCCCTGTGGACAGTCTTCATCAGAGTCCTCTTCCTCCTGCTTAATACAGGCAGAGTTAAATAAATAAAATCACAAAATGCTACGTGCCTCCTGAGGAAGCAATACCAGGAAGGGGGACCATAAATAGATATCATGAAAACTAGCAGGTAACCCATATGCCTACTGAGAACCAGGATGGAAGCAACCAAGTAGAGCTCTTCCTCAGCTACACTTAAAAACTGTAGAAATTAACAAGCAAAGGGACACTACGCTGGCCTCAAACACTCACCAAGTTCATCTGTGTCTTCTGGGTCAGTGAAGGCATAGATATTTAGGATATGGTCCAGTCTGGACTACACTGTCAAATGGTTCTCCTTTTCACCCAGATCTTCTGTGCCCCAGCATCATACCAGTGATATGAGTTAGGATGAGATGGACTACTGACATCTTTTGTCATTCAGAACTACCTCAAGTTAGGTCCCAATGTGGGCCACAGTCAGATATAGGTGATAATCATAAAATTGGCAAATTTAGGGAAGAACTCTTTGAAGGCCAAAGCAAAGTGGGGTAACTCTTTAACCTGTTCTGATAATTCTTATCACAGCAAAAGGATTTTCTTAAAAGGAAATTTGAGAATCATACTCCATTTTAAATTTTGCTTCCATAATGAGAAAATTTCAAATACTCTGAATCATTATTCTCTTAGAATCTTTAAAAATATGGAAGTATAAATGTACTCAAGTACTTAAATTTATATTTGTTAATATTTATTCCTTTTTATGTCAGTATCTTGAGCAAATGACTGTTTTAATATTGATGCAGTAGGATTTGTGATGCTTTTCTAGTTCTGTATTCCCATAAATCATCAAATTTCTCTATTAAAAGTAGTCTAACTCAATTTCAGTACTCCTATTTTCTATTAAAATAAATCTGCTTATACCTTATACAGTATGGTCAAATGGTACCAAAAACAAATGTTGTATTATATCAAGGAATATATTGTCAATTTTCTTATTAATAGAGAAAATTTAACCAACACACACACATAATAGAAAGGTTCTGTTTTCTCTAGCTGTATTATAAATGAGATGATACCAAGCTAAAAGGCTGTCATGTCTTCTTGCCCAGGGAAATGAAAACAAATCTTGAAACCGACTCGAAACATACAAGTGCTATATATTGCTATTTTATAATAGTTCTAATTATCAGTCAGTTGGAAGTATAGTTAGGATTAAGGAAGACCAAATTTTCACTTTTGAAATAACAATTGGCCTTGTTAGCAGTATCTACTGCGGTGAAGGCTCCTTTATAACCCCCTAGTGTTACGTAGTGCTAAGTAAACATCAGCACAAAGCACCAGTACAGGTTTCTAGTTAATGCAAACATCCTGACTTACAATTGTTGGAATAAGGGAAGGCGTTGACAAGATTTGCTTGATAATTCTGTATCGGTCATAAAAAGGCTTTATGAGGTTCTTGTCTTGCTTAGTTACCTGAAAAACATAAAATTAATTATAATTCCTTTCTAAGACAAGAATGAAAACATGTCAATATTGTTAGCAGACCAAAAAAAAAAGTCTCGGAGTCTCAAAGGATTGTAATATTATAACAGTTATTAGAAAAAGGAAAGTCATTTATAAAATACTGTATGTAGCACATGCCAGTTTTTTCTAGAACAAAGTTTCTTAAAGGATAGGTCTAAGTTTAGAAAGATAGTTTTTATATATTTCTGGAGGAGTCTGCAGTATATAAATGGTAAGAAACCTCTTCTTTAATTACTTCTTCATTCTTAAAAGACCTATTGATTTTTTCTTCTGAAACATCTGTTTTATCTGGACTTTTATGATTATAGGTATTCACAAACACCAACCTGGTACAGTTCTTCATCACTACATGCCTGGATTATATACTAGCTTGCTGGCTAGCTCTGATATAAACTAAGTTATTTTGGACAAAACATTTAAATTCTCTGAATCCTTAATTTCCTACCCATAGAAGGAGAAGGTTAGAGTTACAAAGATCCTTCCAACTAAAAACAATTCTATAACCTCTTGACTCACTAATATATTCTATACCCCTCTGCTGTATGATCTATCCTCAAGCACTCTTTTCAACAGGTTATATTGTGCATAAAAATTAAAATAGCTTCTCATCTATTTATCTATCTATGTATCCGCCTATATGTCCAAAGTGACCAAACTCCCCTGCTTGTCTTGGTTTTCTCCCAGCTGTGTATCCTGCATTAATTTGCAGCATATCTTCTATACACAGCCTCCTTCGACTCTAGTCCAGTGGTTTGCAAGTAGCAAGTAGTGGGAAGGGAAAGGTAGAAATAGTGCATGACATAATCACCTAGATGTCTTTTATCAAAGCATACATGCCCAAGCATGCCAGATAGCTCTGCCTTCCAGATACCTCAGAGAAAATCTTCAGGGAATAAAAAATGGCCCAAGCATGTGGTGAGCTTCCCAGTTATCCTCATACCACCCTACCCCCATCCCAACTGCAAACCATACTGGCCCATAATGATCTCCCCTTTCTCTGAACTTTTCTAATTATCTGGACCTTAACTATTTTCTGTGTTTCAGTCTTTTCTGTCCAAATAAACTAAAAGTTTTTTGAGGATAGAGATCATATCACATATTTATTTAAATTCTCACAGTATTCTATATCTACATCCCTACTACCAAGCTATCAATACAGGTTTATATGCAAAAATAATTTTTACAGTCTTTATATAAATTCCTTAAACTATTACCAAAATGTCTTTCATTGTTCTTTATTTTCAATAGAAAGATCACCTCTCTCTGTAAAAGCCTTTTAAAGTATTGATTAAATAACTTCAAGATCCTTTCATTTTCTAGGCCAATCATAATTTAAACATTTTCCTACTGATAACACATCTTTCCATGAAAAAAAAATAAAAACACATATTCCTACCAAAATGTATTCTGTGGGATGTTAAGAGGTGACTGAAGAAAAAAAATCTCAGTCTAAGTTCAGAAAATATTTGAAATAATGTTTTTTATTCACTATCTTACCGGGACTTATATTCCATAGAAAGCACTTCAGAAAATGTCATATTTAACTATTATTGGTGTCTTTCTATAGCAATTTGATTTTTGTGATTTTATTTATTTTTAGCATATGTCCTAAATTCTATAAAAGCTAAATTTAATCCTAAAAGAGCAAAAACTGACCAAAAAGCAAGTTAGAATGATGAATGCCATTATATTAAAATATATTCCTCAGATAGTAGATGAAAATTGGGGTACTTATATAATGTATGCACTCCTCTTTCACTCTAATGATTCCAAGATTTTACTCTTAGGATCATTACTAATGCAATCCCTGAAGAGAGATGTAAGGGTTCAAGACACTCATGTGTAGTAAGTATAAGAAAACGTGAAAACTTTAAGTCTGTGGATACTCATCCTCAAATAGACTTGGACAGGAAGGCAGATTGGAAGCCTGCAAAGTAATTTTCATGATGGAAACTGAGTCAAATGGTAAGCTCTGCAGGAGACCCTAAATCTAATGGGCAGAAATACATTTGACTTTGCTATGCTTCAACCCCTTTCTGCTAAGAATCAGAGAATTTTATCCTCTGAATTCAATGGCTCACTGTTTCTGAAATGCATCCGCCTTTCTTAATTCTACATGTTGCTGGCTGTCTATAGTTATATACAGTTATAGCTAACTTTTGGTTTTTGTTATGTCAGTGAAGGAAACAAGAACCATGTTGAGTAACCTAAAACAGTGAAAGAGAGTTATGCAGAGTATGAATAAGTTTTCATATTTTAAAGATAAATATAAGGAGATAAACCCCCAAATATAATTGTCCTTACTTCCTGCTCTTCCATTATTATAGTATCAGAAGGAGTAAAACTAGGAGGAGTTTGAGCAAGAGAGATGTGTGCACAGAACACAATCTGATATGAATTATTGATAGCTTAACAACTTTGCCATACAAAAACTCCTAGCCACCTATCCAGTAGGTAATCTGAATCATCAGGTCTGGAAACAAGCTGGCTTTCCGAGAGACAGAACTGGTACTGACAGTGGCCAGCCCAGATGTGGTTTTTTTGTTTGTTTGTTTGTTTGTTTTCTGGGCCCTGGTCAAAAAGTTGTTTGGGGAAAAACTGCCATAGCTCCAGCACTTTTACCACCTGTTTTCCTTTCTTCCCTTGGGACTGGTGCCATGTATTATTTCACAGTAAGCCACAGAAATTTATAAATAAATTCTTTCTTCCAGCCATCCCCTTAATTGAACTCTCTCATGGAGAGAAGTAAAACTGACATTCTCTTCTCTGTACAGTGAGCAGTAGGAAACTATTACCTTTAGTTTTAAGGATTCAAGTCCTGCCATGATTTCCATGTGTCTAAGTATCCCTAGCCCTTTATTGAGGGAGACACAATATGTGAAACAGGTCTGACTGTTTGAACTAACCAGTCAGTCAAACAACATGGAATGTCAGTAATGGACATTATCATACAAAGTAAATGATAAAGAGAATGGTTTGGTCAATTTAGACTTCTAAGCAGGGAATTGAAGATTAATAGTCACCTGGAAACTAGAGGACATGGGTTCAGATAACCACCTTCAACACTTATAAGCTATTTTTAACAATGGAAAATTATATAATCTTTGAACCTCTGTTTCCTAATATACAGAATAAGGATCACTTTTAATGATTTGTCATATATAGATGTCCCTGGGTTAATAACAGGTAAAGTGAATGACTTTTGAGCTACTAAACTAGTTGACGTAAGGTTAATATCAATGTTGTCCATTACTAAAAAGGAGTATCACAGTGCTATTAATAAATTTAAAAAATGAGAAGCTCTGTCTTGATATAAAAAGCCATCCAGAATATATAAAGTGAAAAAAATATATATAATTGTATAAATTGCTACCTTTTGTTTAAAAGAGGCAAATTAAGAATGTATATTGATAATTTCTTGTGTATGCTTTATATAGAAATTCCAAAAGGATACATAAGACATTAATAACAATAGTTATCTGCTTGGGATGGGAGAACTTCGAGCTAGAGATGGCAGTTGAAATGGGAAGGAATCTTTCTACTATACAACCTTTTATATATTTCCTTGTTTTCTTCCATGCAAAAAGAAAATGTATAAATAGTTATATATGAAAAACTATTATCTATTAAACAAATTATTTTTTTTAAAAAAAAGGAAGGATAAATAGGCAGGCAAAAATATTTGATAGGATCTTCCTTTCCATGCCCTTTACCTCTAAGTCTTCCCTCTTTCTAACTAACAATGACCCACTAATCAGTTATTAAATTATTTGATTTTTTAAAACTAAAATGAATTATTATGCTTTTTAAAAACCGTTACCTCCTCAAAGATGCTACAGTTGATGAGAGGCCAGAAGAAATAATTGCCATTACTCCTACCCTTGGTAATTTGAGCTGTGCATCTGACCCTACCTGCAGTTCTCAGAAAGGGCAATACGGGCATATATGCCAGCACCACTTGGGGATTTTTAAAAGGAAAAGGACATAAATAGTCACATTCATTTCCAGTGCATAATGATGCCCTGTGACCCAGAAGTGATTATCTCTAAAAATCATCCGTAGATAAAAGAGGAAGAAAATTACTCATTAGCAGTATGAGCACCAATAGGGCAATACTGTAGGATTTATTAGTTTTAGTATGGGCTGTGACTTAACACCAAATGCAGGAATTTCAGAAAGTTATAATAAAAGTCTCTCTGGAAAAGAAATCATTCTTTATCTTGGAAGTTTTCATATTTAATGCCTTTTCAGCAGTAAGGCAAGGACCCCAGATGAAAGTCATCTGCCAATTTGAGTTTAAAGAAATGGGACCTAATGAGATGATCTGAAATGCTACTGAGCTCATTGAGGAGGCAGGAATAATATTAGCTGCTTTGGAAATATACAATCTTCCCTTTGATTCTGCTACAGATCTCTGGACTCGCCGTTAGGACCTACCTTATGTCTGACTAGCCACTACATGGTTTATTATGTTAAGCTCTCCCAGGAATGGTACTGCAGCTTTATATATTGAAGTTTACATGTTCTACTACGGATGCTGTCTGTTTAAAGGGTCTACCTTTGGCCTACTGCAAAGCTAAACAGGTATATTTGAAGGGACATCTGACATTTACTATTCAACAGATACTTCATTTAAAATAATAGAAATAATTGCCATATTCATACAGATGACTTCTAAAGTACCCAGAGATTTTTCTCTGATCTCCAGGCTCTTATTTGCACGTACCAATTTGACATAGATACCTCAGTAGGATGACTAACCATCCCAGTTTGCCCAGGATTTTCAGTGCTGAAACCAGGAAAGTCTTGGGCAAGTTGGGATGGTTGGTCACCTTACTCCTCAAAGATCTTAAAACACATTACAATGTCCCAAACAGACCTTTTAAGTTTTCATCCCTACCCTGCAATCTGCACCTTCTCTAGTTTTCCCTACATCAGTAAATGGATCCATCACCATCCTGGATTCTTTCTTTCCTTCACTTCCTCCCATCTAATGTTTCAGCATGTCCTTTAAATTCAACCTTCAGAATACACTTTGAATATGTTCACTTCTTTCCATCTCCAAGGTCATCATGCTAATCCAAGCCACCCATTTCATTTCCCCTTTTCCACTTTTTTCTCCTATGATTTATTCTCCACATTAAGTAATCAGAAAGATCTTTTAAATATGAATCATGTCATGGCATTTTTCTGCTTACAGCCATTCCACAGCTTCCCAATACTTTCCACAGCCTGTAAGGTCTTGTGTGATGGGTCCCAATCCATCTCTCTAACTTTGTCTCAGGCCATCCTGTGCTCTAGGCCTCAAACCTGAGAATTCCAAGTATACAACATGTTCTTCCTTCCTTCAAGGCCTTCCTACCTGCAATTCTATCTGTCTAAAATGCTCTTTGTTATTCTCTTGGCCCACTAATTCTTCTTTAATTGTCACCTTCTTGGCCTTCTTAATCACCATTCTTAAGTGGAAACTATATCTATTATTTTCTGTCATATCACCTGTTTAATTCCTTGCACAGTACTTATCAAAATCTTTAATGATTTCATTTCTTGAGTTGTTTATTTCTTGTTGTATTCCAACTTCCAGGAGAACATGAGCTCCATGAGGACCAGTGACTCCCATGATCTATTTATTTATATGCATCTATTCTACTTCACAACACATAGTAGGCATTTAAAGCTTTTTGCAAATGAATTATTGTCCACCAGTCACCAGGCATCTCCCTTATTGTCACAATAATTATAGAAGTAGGTAATTATAGATAAGGAGTTGAATCTCAGAGTTTTAGTTTACTTGCCATATATACATGGTTAGAAAGTGGCTGGTTCAAGCACTGAGTCCTGTTCTAAGTCTCCTATACCAATCCTAACTCTCCCTTCACTACCCTGGTTAATTGAACAGAACACAGAATTAGGACTTAGATATTTACCAACGTGCTTTCATAGATATGATTAAAGTAACTGTAAAATACAGGAAAGAACCTCAGAAGTATTAAAGGATGAAAAAACACATACCTGACAATATGTGTGTGTATATATATACAAATTGTCCACTGGCTATCATGAAAGTCTAGAATCTTTAGTGGGGATGGGGATAGGTTAACCAAGTGGATGAAAACCTTCTATTTCTTCCTCACAACATATAATTAGTGTTGTTTTTTTTTTTTAAGTCTAAAGGTATTTCATATAAAGATAGAGGTGGTCCCGGTCCCATTTCTACTTGTGGATCACAAGTCCTAATGTAAAAGACTAATGCAGGGGCATATGGTGGTGAACCATTTGAGATGTGGCTTATGTTGCCACCTTATTATTAAGACCAGGTAAGGTACAATAAAGACAGCATTCTCCTCAATAAGACAAAAGTTAAATGTGCTAGTTCATTCATTCGTCATTTGTCCATTCACCCAGCATTTATTCTATATCTTCTATGTACAGATTGAGGGATCATGAGTAATAAACAGGCCTTTCCATGCAAGAAGTTGAAGGTGTAGTCAGAGAGACAGAAGATGGCACATAAGATAGTTAGAGTGATAGGGTAGCTACAACTGTAAATCAAGAACTGAAAGTCAACCAGACCAGTCTTTGAGTTGAGACAGGAAGGACTACAGGGAAGTTTCCCTGGCATAAGTGAAATGGAAGCATAGATATGCAGGGCAAGGAGGAGATTAACCAGGTTAAATGCTAATCGCTCTTTTCTTCTTTATAAAATACAATAAATCTTTTCTTTGAGCTCTATACCCAAATGCCTAATGAACAACTCTGTCTTGGATGTCTCACAGATATTTCAAAACTAAGATGTCTAAAGCTGAAGTCTTGAGTTTCAATCTAACACTCCTAAGAAACTCTATCTTATTCTTACATAATATACGAAACCACTTTCCTTTCCATTTATACCTCATCCCTGTTTATTTTTTAATAAAACATGGAAAAGGGTTGTAACTGGTGCCCTTTCCTTTCAGATATTATGCTTATTCTCTATTCATAGGTTCATTTGCTAATTTCAGGGGAGAATTTGGGGGAGAAAGGGATATGATATATCCCAGTGTCTTTGCCATTTACTTCCCTTCCACTCTCAACACTATAACCTCCAGAATGGTGTCACATTCTCGAATCATGTGGCAATACCCATAGCTTATGGCCACTAACCCACCAGAAACTCATCTGACTGAAATTTCCATGCCAGTCTCCTAAAGATGTTTATGTAGTGGCAAAGTGCTCTGACAAACTGGTCAAAACTATGATCTCCCTGGCACTGGGGAGTGTTGGGGCCCTCCATATCACAAGAGACAATGAGGTACCTTAGAATCCTCCAGGGTGGGAAGCTGCTCGCTCTTCTCCTTTAGGCATGTCAAGGCAGCATCTGGAGTCTCCTCTCCTGAGGAGCTTGGCTCAGGGCCTGCAGCTTCCGGCTTCCCATTCTCTCTGAGGACTGTGGGTTGTTCGCAGGACAGGTTTCTAGGTGTGCCTTTGGGAGCACTCCCTTGTTCTTCTGACAGCTTCAGCTTTAGTTCTAAGAGAAATGCCATGAGTTATCATGAGCAAAGAGAACCCACTAGCCCTAAGAAGAAGACAGCCTTTCAGGAATCCCTTCCCCTGATGCCAAGTTGGTAGAAATGAACAATGCTAATGGTGGCTTTCTGTGGGGCAAGGGCAGACTTGATAGCCAGAGCCAATAGTATAACCAGGGCTCTAGAGGCTGGGATCTCATGGAGGTAGAGGACATGTGTGGGAGTGAGTGGTTTAGATTTCAGAGGAGGGGAAGTTGAGAGGAACACCAGTGGTACCTGGCCCCAAGGTTAACAACTGCTAACTACTGTAGCAGCTGACAAAGATTCATTTACTTAGATTTTGAAAGTTGTTTGTTCATCAAAAGCCCTGTGGAAATGCAAGTACTTCTAGAGGGCATTCCACATGCAGACACCAGGGAAATAGGAGAGGGCACGGGAGAGGAAAAACGGGAATGCCATCCCCAACCTGACAGTGGTCACAGTTTTGTCTAATGCCAGCTTCTAAAATCCAGGCATCACCATTATTGAAATATGGCTTCATATAAATGTAGATAATTAAAAATCAAAAAGCCACCTGGGGTTTATCAGGGAATTATATTTCAGAATATATGAAGGGACTGGTCACTTGAATGAGGTCATTTATATTGATTTCTTAATTTCATAGTTCATCTTCTTTGATGTTTGTTTTTTAGTTAGACTCTGGCTTGGTGTTTAAACACTGCATATTTTATAAACTTGCCACATCATTATCATTTAATGCCACTGAATTAATATCCTCTTCTAGTCCTTTTTAATCACCATCCTTTCAGAAATTTGGAAAAAAAACTCCCATGTCTCTAGGTATTGAAATTAGAGCATGGAGAGAGGAAGAAAATTTTTTATTGGTAAATAACAATAGTCCTTTGACAATGGATTTTAGAGTTAATACTCACCCCACCATCTGCAGAGGGGGACAGAGGAAAAAGAGCACTGGGCTGCAAGGCGGGAGATCCACGTTTCACACCTGGCTCACCACCTCCCAGCTACGTAACCTTCCCTCTCTCTCTGGGCATAAATGTCCCTGAGCCATGCTATGGGGTATGGTGGAGTAAAGGATTTCTCAGACCTCTTGTGTTTAACATCTAAAGATCCAATAACCCAGGGAGGTCAGTGCTCCACATGCTGAAATGTTCCAGGTATTGAAGTGAATCATTCCACTTAGGAGTTGGAGGTCCCCAGTGTCTTTGTAAGGAGGTTTATTAAATGGAGCCAAACAATGAAGGACATGCAGGACCCTTTATTTCAAATGAGCTTCCAATCTAAGCGGGGAAACAAAGCTCAAGAGGGCACAGGTGGACATGAATAAAAAATACTCTGAAGCACATTATCACTATTTTAACTGCTTCCTGAGAAAAGAGACCTTTGGCTGGCATTTACCTTTGAGCTGTTTACGACCTTTAGCCAAATCATTCATCCATTTCAGGACTTCGGGATTAGAAGTCTTGTCACCATGTGAAGGCTACCAAGGTAAGGAAAAATGAGGGTAGGAGGGAGAGGGAGGGAGAGAAAGAAAGAAAAGGAAAAACAAAATGTTTAAACAGCTGAGCTGCACAAAGACAGTCCAGGAACATATAAAGCTGGGAGAGAAATTCAGGCGTGAAATCTCCAGCTGATGGAGTTGCTTCTGGAAAACACAGAAAACATTCTTGACCTCGTCTATTCTTTCATCCTTGCCATGGGCATTGCTTCTAAACATGCCTGGTCACCCAGCATTTTTCACATGGTCCTAACCATGCCAGTGCCCATATAGTCATTCTTTCCCTCACTTGCCTTGCAGGCCCTCCACAGCCCATACCCCGGGGTCCCAGAGCATTCTCTACAGCGATTCACATGACTGACTGCACTGCTTACTACCTTGTTTGTGGCTCACATACCTGGCTTATGACCACAACCTCTGCTGAACAATACTAACAAAGTGGGAGATTTAGCTCCTGCTAGTCATATCCCCCAAGCTGAAGAAAGAGGACCCCAGAATCTTTAAAACCTGATAGTAGTCCTGAGAAGTCAGTCTGTCAGGGGGATACACAGATTTCTAATCCCTCTTCACTATTTGTAGACTCAATATCCTACTGGAGCTGGAATTAAAATAAAACTTAATAGGTCATATGTGTGTGACCCTGGGCAAATTATTTAGCCTCTCTGTTCCTCACTCTCATGTATCAGATTAGGACTATAACAGCATCTTCTTCATAGGGTTGCTGTGAGGGATTAATTAATATCTGCAAAGCACTGAAAACAGTTCCAGGTTCATGCTAAACACTGTAGAAGTGTTAGCTAGATTTACAGATACAATTATTGTTATTACTGTTACTAGCAGCGGTGGTAGTAATAGTAGTTAGTGTTCACTATCAGATCTCCAAAGGGATGCTGAATATGTCTTCACTGACAGACAGACAGACATGTGGTGTATGCATATCCTACAAGTAGCTAATCGCACCTTAGATATGGCAGTAAAGATATATATTTTTTATTTTAAAAGGATTTGACTTGTCAATACAAGTCATTCACCTTGATTTCTGGATTTCTACTCAGAGCACAAAAGTAGACTTTCTATAGAAAAGAGAAACTAAGAGATAAGGGTAGTCAATCATACTGACCCTCAACCCCCACATATTAGTAAGAAACATTCTTAAGGCAAGGCTACCATAGTAACTTAAATGCAGGCTCAAGAAAACTAATGGCTACTATGAGTTAAGGTTATACAAGGAACTATATAGTAAGGCTCAAGAAGACATGATCGTAAACATACTAGTCTGAATTGTGAGCACTGTTAGTGACCAAATATAGGGGCTCTGTGATGTTTGAGGGTCCACTAAATCCATGTGACCTCACCAGGTTATTGGTGAGAGGGAGGCATAGGAAGATGGAAGATTTTTCAAGTTCAAAGGAAAAAACTACTTGTGTGATAAGATCATCACATGTACATGGGATTAGATACATTCATTGTGAAACACAAGGCATGGTTCTGTCAGTTATGGAGTGATATAAAAGCCATAGTTTTTAAAATCAAGATAGAAAAGAAGATTGAAGGAAAATAACTATCATTCTTTTCTAGGAGAGCTTGGATAGGAGACTATGGTTTCACAAGTGAATCCTTGGTTTCAGGACCATGGACAGTGACACATGGGTGCCAACCCCCACCTCCCAAACAGCTTAGCCTGGTCCTATCTATGGTCTGCTAGAACAGGGCACTGTACTGTTTCCCTGATAGATAGTTTAGTACTTTGGCTTTTGAGTAACAATCTGGCTATCAGGACAGTCAATGTTTTAGATCTGGTTTCTCAAAATCCTCAGAGAATTCTCCAGTCTGAGAACACATCTTGTTGAACAGTGCTCCATTGGACCTGCTCCACATAGTGAATTCTATCTTTTGAAATATGGTAAAAACACACACACACACACACACAAAAAAAAAAAAAAAAACACTAAGACTCTAAGCCAGTCCCTATGAAAGAAATGCACTTTCACTATTGCACATAGGACATAGCAGAAATTTAAGGCTGAATTTTCTAACAAAATAATTTACAGCCTGAAATCAGTTTCTGAAATGAATTTTTTCTTTCCCTATTGTTGGGGAAGCTGTTAGAAGAGGTTAAATGAAGCTCATATGGATGGCAGCTTTCAAGTCACATAGAAAGTTCTCATATACAAGCTGTGGGTTTTCAAGCCTTCTAATTTCTGAACTAAAATATTCTGGCTTAATAGACCCCAAAGTCATATGCCCAGGAATTACATATTTTAGGTTTTGTTCAGTGCAATCAAAATGGGGTTCCTGATTCACACAGCTGAAGGCACCACTGGAACAGATTTGTGATCTGCTCAAGTCAGTTCATAACATACTTCAGAAAGATTTCTGTATGGGTAAATAAGAAGACCAGAGTTGTTTTTCTGGCTAAGTCAATTTTTTTCTGTGTGATTCTGGGGGATTCACTTCCCCTTTTGGGGCCTTAATTTCTTCAATGGTCAGATAAGAAGAAACACTTAGCTGATCCCTTCCAATTCTACTATTCTCTGATCCCCCAAGTAGATATCTGGCTGAAGCAACCCTCTAAGCCCGTGAGGCCAATAATCAAATGCAAAATCAGATGTAGAGAATAAGCAGTTTGAGATAGGGATACAAAATGGTTACATTCAACAGAGATGGAAAGATGTGTATTATGCATGGATATCAGCATAGCACAGAGGCCCTGTGGGGCTTGGATTTAAACATTCACAGTGGGTGCTATTAACTCCACAGTCAGGCTGCCAGGAACGGAAGCCTTCCTGACATGTCAAACCTCTAACCACAGCCTGGCACCCCGACAGGAAGGGCAGGGAAAGCCCTATTTCCTGAGACACATAAGGTTCTGATTATGTCAAAGACTTTAATACACACGAAGCAGCAAGCAGCAGTGCTTATGAATCCTGCTTCTATTGCTCCCAAATCCCTCCTTCTGCATGTTTTAGTATTTATTAATACATGGATCTGTCTGTATGTGTGTTTCTGCCTGCTCTGGCGTTAAAGGTTCTCCAGACAAAGGCAAGAGGTGCCAGAAGAAATTCTCTTCCCAAACAGGCATCCAAGGTCTGTGCCTGCAGGTAGAAAAATCCAATGGAGAATTAACAGAAATAATTTTTCTTCATTTTCTGACAAGGCAGGGACTGCCATACGGTAAGACTGTTCAAACATTACTCATAGATTGAAAGGTTGGTAATATTTAGGATCTCTTACTTCCTTTGTGACAAACACTATGATAAGCATTATACTGTGTCCTTTCCTCATTTGCAATTCACAAACTTAATAAGTCACTACTAATGTTGACTCCACTTTACAGATGGACAAACTGAGACTACTGAAGAAACTAAGGCCCTGGGGTAATAAGGTTCTAGGTAAGCAGTGTTAACAGGTGCTGGGATTGGAGCACCTGGTTGTTACTCTTAGTTTCTAATATGAAGACATTAAAGATCCAATAACACTCCAGCAGCAAACAGGTGAAATTAGCTTCTCTCAGGATATCTGGAGCTTTCAAAATGTAGACACTTAAGAATTTTATTTCCACACTATTGCAGAACCTACTCATCTTTAATCCACTGCTCCAAGCCTGAGCTGATAGAACACAACTACATTAGGCAAGTTATAAGTCTTTACCTCTTCACTGGGCCTCAGTTTCCTTATCTCTAAAGGCCTGTAGGAGCCTGGACTAATAGTGTGTGGAGCTGCTTCCTGCTCTGTAAAAGACGGTAAGTAGCTGCAACTGCCTGACACTGGTGAAGACAGGAATCTTCAACACCCTGACTAAGGTTGTCTTGAAAGCCAATCTGACTTTCCCCCCCATTTTTGCAAAGCTAAAATCATACCTTAAAACTCCTCTTTTAGTGAACTTGAGGCCACTGTAGGAAAAAAACAAGATGGAAAGAACAGAAGAGTGGAATATTACCCACTCTCACGTCCCTCCCCAGAACATATCCTACACTCACAGGAACTTTCTGATTGCCTCTGTACCAAGTGCTTAGTGAACCTTTAAATATTTCAAGATGTATGAGAGATTATTCCCTGTTCTCTTTTATTCTAATAACAAGCTGTTCTGGGCCCTCTGCCAAAGACCCGATTTATTTGTCCAATTCTATGTGAAAATGGTTTTTCTCTATGCCATGGTCGCCATTAGAGAAAATAAAAGCAACATTGGTCATCAAGACACTTACCCATGACTCTACTGTTTCTTACGTGAGAAAGAATGTTCGTGGCATTGCAATACCAGCATGAACTGATGGGATAGGATAGTTCAGGGCTTCTTCTTCTGAGTGTCCTTAACAAACGTCACCTGAGAGGTCCCCACTTGTCAATCACCAAGTACTTTCATGTCAAGAAACCATCTCCCTCATTCTGTTTCACAATTGGAGATTCTGTTCTTGGGTCCTTAATAAGTTCTTATCAAAATGCAATTGGGAAAAGATTTTTTAAAAACGATGAGACCATAATTTAAAAGCTTTCAAAATTTTGGTCCTAGAAAAACTAGTGATGATAAGGTTCCTTAGGGGAAAAAAAGATTAATAATCAAATAAGTCTGGAAATAAGAGTTGTAATCCACTCCTAGGAAATATCTTAGCAGAGATCAACTGACAGCAGATGAGAAGACAGACCCAGGGTGGGAACTCAATTTGTAACAAGTCCTGGGTTGGGCAATGGGAACAGAGCTATCCCCTGGCATAGAAAATCCACCACCTCTGACACAATCCATTCGTATGTCAAACTCCAGGGTCCTTACCCGGTATTTCTTTTCTTGTTCAAATTTTTCCTCAAATTTCCGAATTTTCCTCTTGAGGCTCTGGATGTGCTTGGTGAGTTGGGTGATGGTCTGAGTCTCCTTACCATCTCCACAGCCGCACCGCGAGGAACTCCGGGGCCTGAGATGATCACAGGGAGGAAGGAGCGTCAGAAACAGTGGTCTCTTGGTAAACACTGCTGCTGGTCTACACACCAAGATTCCTGGGTTATCAGAGAGGTCCAGAAGGCAGATTATCTGATGAGACTACCATGGTAGCATCTGCTCATCAATGGAAACCCCTGATCACAGAACTCCATTATAGGCAGATGTGATCAGGGACTGTAGTGTAAAATATCAAAATATTAGTCCAGGAAATACATTTCCTAAAGCTTAGAAGAGGCCAATTTAAGACCCGGAAGGAGCAGCCCTGTTGAGGCCTTATCCTCAATAGATTGCACAAGCCACACTTACCGACATTTTCAAGGAAGATGTGTGTGGTTAACTTTTCTTGACATAACAGAACCTTTTAGAATATAGTGAACGGAACTATTTCCAGGAAGTTTTTCCAGAAACTATGTACACCCTTCTCACATGACACACATTTTACATGCAATAGCAATAATTCACTAACTCCCTAAAGTTCATTAATAGACGTCCAAGAACCCAAGCTTGGATAAATTCAAGAATAACAGCATAAATTCAGAGAGAGAAACTAGGGATCCCCTGGGCATATTTTTAACCAAACAATTCTGAATCTTAGCTATATGTCAAAATTATTTGTGGAACTTAAAAGTAAATAACACAGTTCCCTCAACCTCATTCCAATCCCAAGTGCAAATTCCAAATGGAGTGTGTAGGGGGGCAGGCATCTGATACATATATACACACACAAGCACACAGAATTGGGGGGATAGCTATTATAAGCTACCACTTTTGTGGAATCTAAGAAAAACTTGAGGTGGACAATTCCCAAATATCCCCACAGTACATCTGTTGATGCCACTGTTCTGCATGGAAAGAATGCCAAGTTCATCAAGAATGACAGTCCTGATATTTGCATGTACATACACTTACTCAGGATTCTGGTTATTTCACCAAAAAATGTTCAAAAACATGTGAGCCCCTGGGGCTGCCTGCCTCTCGTGGCCATTTCCTCCTGAGATATCAAGACCTGAAATGGCATCCCCAACTGGAAAATATACTGATTATTTTGCCGTTTATTGTTCTGGTCTTGCAGTTCCATTAGGCAGGCATGTTCGCACTGTTTCAGACACACGCCTCATTGTAGTTTGTAAACGTGGCATTTGAAAAACCGTCTGAAATGAAGATAATATGAGGTTTTCTTACATCATAAACTGCTGAGTGCTGGGTGGCGATGGGGCTGACTCAGGGTCTAGGTTGAATCTCTGGCTTTGGCTGAAGATGGAGCACCGGGGCGACAGCAGCGGGTTGTCGCCGTCGGTGATGTGATAGAGCAGCCTGCTGGTCCCCACTGACTGGAGGTCTTCTGGGGCGCTGTCGGCTTCATTCTGCGCGTCTTTGGAGACTGGCGCGGGGTCTGGGGAAACAACACAAATCATAAAGACTTAGCAGTGACAGAGGGCTTGAGGCTGTCATGTTCCTAAATAAAGATCATAAACATTCATTATAATGGCTTGCTCTTTGTCATTTCTTCCTTCTGGGGATATGAAAAGTTTTCAAAATACTGTCATGTTTGTTCTCACAGAACCTGGATAGAAAAGATTGCAAAGCTGCCAACAAAAAAAAAAAAAAGAAAAGAAAATGGAAATGCATTATTTCGGGATGAGTTATATGGCCAGCATATCCCCAAACTGTAAAAATCCTCTTTTTATTTCATAGTATTTGCATAGGTGTGAGGCTATGTTACAAAGCATTAGAGTAAATAAAAAGAAAACAATAAAATGGAGCTGGAGCAAAAGATTATAGATTATGAGGAAGAAAAGGGATGACAATTGCCAGTGAAGGAAGGGAGAGCAGGGGGAGGAGAGGAAGAGAGTGGAAAAAACCCACAAAGAGGAGAGTGAAGAGGAGTCTCCCACAGAGAAAATTATTCCTCTGTCATTAAAAATGATGGATAATTCTGCTTATCAATAAGGAATGACATTCAGAATATGCTAAGCGGAAACCACAAATTTCAAAACAAAACAGTAATGATTTCATTTTATATAAAAAGCATACACTTATGTGTACAAATAAATGCATTAAAAGATAAAAGAAGTTACACAGCTACTACAAAGCATGATAGAATTAGGTGTAATTCTATTTTCTTCTCCAAAACTTTATGTAGCATTTTATTCTGGTCAAAACAAAAAACAAAACCTGTGCCAAACCCTTTCCCCAGCCAGCTCTGTGCCTGAATTCTCACTAGGACCATCCCCCTCCGAACTTAGCTCCCCACCCCAGGGCCAGTCCAGAAGGCGGGTACCCCTGTGCTGTGGGGGTGAGGGTGGGGGACTGAGGTCTGTCAGCTGGGGGATCACTCGCACACTGAGCCAGGCTGGCCGAGGAAGGGTCTCTCCACCCTGGGCTCTGTACAGAGTTATTCCAGAAGCGGCCAAAACAAACTCCTCAATTTTGCCCTTCAGACAAGTCAGGACAAGCCAAGGCTTTCTCTTGCTCCTTCTTCTCTAAAGAAAGGAAAACAGAGATTTTTTTTCTAGATGAATAAGCAGAATCAGAAAATACTGACAATAGGCTTTTCCAAAATAAACATTTATCATGATCTGGTATCAGATGAATCTTAATCAGATTTAGAATGACTCCTTGTTCTTTAGAGCCTGAAATGCAGTTTGCTTTGTGTGACATCAAAGGTCTGATTAGGTCTTCCTGTGGTTTCTGCTGGCTTCTCCCCTGGTGGGTTGTAGACTAGGAAGGTAGACGATGGTTCCCGCCATGCCTCTGAAGGTCCCTGATGGCACTTCTGGCAGTAGTGGGGGCTGACCAAGAATGGACATGGTGCAGGCACGTTGGTGCCAGGTGAACAGGCAGTGCCTCGGCCCAAGGCAAAGTGTGAATAATTTACCCAGAAAAATGCCATGGTTCGACAGGAGCCCTCAAGAGTAACAGGAATGAGAGTTAGTACCAATAAATTGTAGCATATCATAATGATCACTTTCTGAATCCACCAGGGGCGTGTGGGTTCCTCACCAAATTCTTAAACCATTAGTCTCTAAGAAGAAATGCATTTTATTCATGTTACCTGTTTCTTAGAAGTATTTTTCAGTAATAATAATGGGGAAGAAAATCATCTTTAGCAAGCACCTGGGACCACCATATTCTTACTAAAATGCAAAAGGTCTGAGACTGAGACGTCAACCCTTTCAGCTCAGCTGTGGCCCCATGATTAAAACTAACAGGAGTCTCTTGTTGCTATTTGATAATGCCCAAATGGAAGCACTTGAGATCCTAGCCACATAACTACGAAGTAGAGCTGGGGAAAGAGCGCGGTTTCTAAAGCCAATAGAATCCTAAAATATAACTTCATGGAATCACCAATGACTACAAATGGATTTTTTGGAACTGCATTGCAAGAGTAATTGTAAAGCTCCATTTACATGGCATCTGTTTTCCCCTGGGCATTCGCATAATTTACCATGCTGCCTAATTAACACCCTAACCTCCTTTCCCTCCAATTCACTATTGAGGGAAGCTGTGAGCCAGAGAGATCCCAAAGCAACCAGTTGAAAAACAACACAGTCAAAAACTGGCAATTTGGTAGAGTTTCAGTTCTTTGTCCAAACTAACCATTTGTGTTGAGAAGGGGCTTAATTAAATCAGCAGGCACGGGTATTTGTCTGTGCACTTGTGTAGACAGAATTATCGAGGTCTTTGCTCAGAAGAGGCCAGTGTAGATTCAGAGCCAACATCGCTGCTGATCTGGGAAGAGCCTAGGCCACCCTTCCAGGCCCAGTTCCCTGATAGGGACGAGCTGAGGGCAATATAAAACCAGGGTGGCTTCCGATGGTCACCTGGGGGCACATTACTGTTTCTTCCAAAGGAAGGGACAGCTTGCCTGGGCCCATCATCACATGGTGCAGTATGGGAGAGGAAGGGGCCTGTGAGGCAGGAGTGCCTATACTTCCTGTGGGGCCCCAGCCAGGTCTCCTACCTCTCTCAGTCTCTGCATTTGGCCCACCTTACTCACAGGGCAGTGATGAGAAAAATAAAAGATCTGCTGTATGACATAATGCCTATACAGTAGTCCCACCTTATCTACAGGGATGTGTTCCAAGACCCCCAATGGATGCCTGAAACTACAGATAGTACCAAACCCGATATATACTATGCTTTTTCCTATGCATACATACCTCTGACCAAGTTCACTTTATAGAGCAGGCACTGTAAAGATTAACAATAATAAAATAGAACAATTATAACAACAAACTATACTAAAAGTTATGTGCATGTGGTCTCTCTCTCAAAATATCTTATCATACTGTACTGCAGGTAACTCTTGAAAGCAAAACCACAGCTAAGGGGGAGACTACTGTAGCTAACAATACTGTATTGTATATTTAAAAATTTGTTGAAAGGGTAGATATCATGTTAAGTGTTCTTACCACAATAAAAAAATGTTTTTTGCTTGTTTGTGTTTTATACAATTTCCATAACAACTATGTCTTAATTTTACAAAAAGGAAAATATAATACGTTAACATAAAATTTGGGCGGAAAAAACATTCCTGAGAAGGGAAGTGAGAAACCACCCTGGGGTGCACAATAGAGAGCAAAGATTGTGAGTTTGGATCCCAGATCCACACTGGCTAAAGAGACTTTGGAAATGATGGACCTTTTTAAATCTCAGTTTCTTCATCTGTTAAATAGGAAGAATAACAGTGCCTGCCTCACAGGATTAAGTGAAGATAAAATGAAATAAAACTATATCCCTACAAAATATTTGCCTTATCTACATAAACCTTTTTACTTTATATATTTATTTTTTTTTATTTCAACCTAATGGTTTTTTAAAAATTTCACCTTCATCATAAGCAATGATGGCCAAGAAGTCATGAATGTGATGTACTAGCTACATTCTTTAAAACTGATACACATTAAAATAAATTCTTCTTAAAACTAATAATGTTCACCCATGCATCCCTGTATAGCCTATTTGGTGAAACATGAGGATAAGGCATAGAAACTCCTAAACACAGTATCATGAGAACCATCATTTTCATATTATTATCAAAATAAAGAAGTTGAGTAGTATCTTCTCTCCCTGAACACCAACGTCACCAGGAGCCCCTGTAGGGTTATCATTGGAAATGAGAACCAATATATCCCTCAACATATTATCCCTCCTATCAGTCCTTATTTATAAGTAAATAATAATCATCATCTCTAATATTTATGGAGTGACTCACTTTGTCCTCAATCTTGTTCTGAGAGTTTTGGCATGTATTTAATTGCACAAACAACCACATGAAGCTGGGAGTAATGTGCTCTCTATTTTAATTCAGTAGGGAAGGTTGTATAACTGTACTAACTCCATTGGGGGGGGGGGGGGTTGGCCAGTGCCTAGAGAAGACTCCACATCTCTGACGCTGGAGCCTTGGGGTTTCTGGCGGCCCACGCACTGGGCAGGAGGGAACATGGAGAAGAAAAGTAATTATCAGTCTGTGAAGGCCAAGAGACCACTTCTGATCTGGCTGCAACCCCAGGCAGAAGCATATGCTACATTACAGCTGTTAAATGAGTCAGTCAGATTTAAAAATATATCTTTCTAATGTGAATTTTTATAGCAATGCAAAATTTAAAATAAATCTCTGTCTGTAAAAACTCGAGATGGACTACTGAGATTTGTGCATTTGTTAATTCACACTCTTGGGATTGGCCATCGTGGTGGGCTCATAGATAGCATTCAGGTACATTCCAAAATGCCAAATGTCAGCCTTTGTTGGTTTTAAAAGCTAAGTGATCCCAAAGCAAGTTCATGATTCTAATGAGGTTCAAGCCTCAGAGTTCTCAGCCAGCATCTCTCAGGACAGACAACAGGGAGGATAACAGTGTCACATACACAAAGAGGGCTACAAAAACAAAAGCAAAAAACAACCCAAAAACATCTGATAAATATATGATGGGTTTTGTTTTAGATATGTTGAATTTGGGTGCTTGAGGCACTAAAGGTTTAGCTACAGGGTCAAGGGAGAGAGAACATGGGTAAACCAGAAGTTATCCCAATAACTAAGTCTGGGAAAACAGATGAGCTTGCTTGGGTAGAGACCACTGAGAGAGGAGAAGCAATATTGCCATGTTGGGGTGGGCGAGGCAGGAACGGGGCAGACAAAAAGGGATTGTGGGTTGGGGAGGCTGATCAAGCAGGGGGAGGTCAGCACCCAGGCAATCCTGTGTGCCAGCTCCTGTGATGGCCACTGGAAGTGACCGGAAGCTAGAGGGGTGGACTTCACGACAGGCACCTGGCAGATCCCAAGAGGCAATTTGCCATCCCAGATAAAAACATGAGCTACAAGCTCAGAAAGACCCAGATTCAAGTCCCAGTTTTGTCATCTATGTGACCTGGGTTGCATTACTTAATCTCTCTCAATCTCACTGAATTTGAGAAATAACCAAGGACAATGGCCAACGAACATAATCTGATCTCTGAGAACATCCTTTTCCTTCCGTGTCACCAAGATGGAGCCAACTGCTCAGATAACAATCAGGCTGAACAATGTCCCGCCCCTGTGGGTGCAGGGCTCTGTCTGAGCTGAGGGGCTGCGGAAGGAGCACACACCATCCATCACAGTGTGGAAGATTCAGACGTGCCCTCTAGGCAGACAGAGAAAGCTGCCTGCTGCAATGCCCATTCCTTTTCAGCTTCCTGGACTCCCAGGTCTTCTAGTTGATTCCTGCACAACTGATCACCTCAGTGGTGCAGCTGACAAAAATCTGCTATTAAGATGACAAGAGCCATATTCAAAAGAGAGTTTTCACATTTGGGCAGAAGTGCTTTAGGAAGCAGAAGGAACACTGAATATACAAAGCAAACAGGAAGATGACTGAAGGGCATTCCAAACTTCTATGTGGGTGGTACCTTTACCAGGCTCATCCAGAGTCAGTTAGGAAGCATAGTCAAGAATTATTAATCTCGAGTGTCTATTAGGTTGCCCGAATTAACCAATTCAGGAAAAGAAGTTGCATCAGCTTCTCCACATAGAGACACACGAGCAGATGATGCTCAGGGAACTGAAAGAGACAGGAGAGATTGTCCCCTTTGGCCCCAGGCGTGGGAGGTGTCCAGAGCAGTGGCAGACACCAAGCTTCTAGGCATGCCAGCTGGTCACCTCCAGACTGTAGTCTTTAAGCATTCAGAGCTGACACCAAAATATCCCACAAAAAAGATACTTTTAAAATGACTATAATATATGGGAAACCTATGTGCAAGGAAAAAGCAGTAAGTAAAAGGAACTCTCTGTACTATCTGCCCGATTTTTGTAAACATAAAACTGTTGTAAAAAAAATAAAGTCTATTAATTTTTAAAAAAGTGACTTTAGGGCTACTGGTTAAAAGCCTGGGTCTTGGAGCCAGAGGCCTGGGCTTGGTTCTGTGATACCACTTGTTCACAGATGTGATATCCTTGGCCCCAGGCAAGCCTCTTCAAATCCAGAACCCCCATCTGTAAAGAGTTGAGGACAAATAGAATGATGCATGTGAGCACAGTACTTGGCCTGCCTTAAAAACTGAATTTAAAAAATTTCTAAAAATAATTTCCTGGCAATTTGGGCTGCAGGAATGATTTTTTTTTTCTTTTCTATAGAATAGTTAAAAGAATGGCCTCAGAGAATTATTACACTGTCATCTATAAATTTTGAATTTTTTTAAATGCTTTCTTTTGGAAAAAAAGGGGTTAATGTGAAGCTCCCTCCCTCAGCAATTATGAAGATGGTTATAAAAGCATTAGTGAAAAATTATTAATAGTAAAGAACTTTTCTGACCAAGTTATGTCACAGGTTTAGCACAGGATAGATTTTATTGTAGCAAATGTAGTTTTAAGTTTAATAGGTGGTAATTATTCAGCCATCAGCTCTATAGATTATTGCTGTTATAAATACCTTTTGCTTAAGGGAATTAGTGTAATGTCAATCATATGCAACACTCTAGAGGGGACCTGGGGAATGAACAGTATGAAATGTCATTGCCACATCCTGAAAGTAGTTAGAAATTATGATAGAGTAGATATTCAAAGACAAATGTAAGCATTATCAACTGGAGGGAAGGTGGCATGAGTTCTGAGTATGGTAAGAATGCCCAGCTTCCAGCTTTTTAAATAATGACAGCTGATGTTTATTGAGCATTTACATGAGTGATGTGCTAAGAGCTTCATATGTATTAGGCCATGTCATTCTCACAACAATCTTAAGATGCAGACAGCATGCTTTGTCTCATTTTAAAGGAAAGAAACTTAGGCAAGGAGAGATTAAATAACCTGTCTAAAATCACCCAATTAGCACAGGAAGTTCAGCAAGGAGCTGTGTTTCTGAACAAGACAAAGCCAGTATGCAGCAAATGGCAGAGTTAATTAATATTTTCGTTAAGACGTTAATTCAGTACCAATCCTTAAAAATGGATCCTAGATTAATCTTATTTTACATTTCAGAAATGACATGAAAGAGAAATTAAGGAGTGATAAGTCTGAGTTTACAGATGATATTAATATTTTTCAAAGAGTAAAACACCAAGAAATCACAGACCAAGCTCACAAACCATGAAGAAGTTCAACAGCAGCAGATGATTTGCTCTGTGGGCAAGTAGGTAATACAGTCAGAGAAAATCGATCCATCTACCCTTAATAAATAATAAGCACCAAACTATTTAGTTTAATAGGGAATGGGGTTTTTGGAGCTATTACAGGATATGCTGATTTGACAAAAAAAAAACAAAAACAAGAAAATATTGTGCATCTCTAGAAAGGGTTTGGAAAACAATCCTGCAAGCATAATTATTCTGTAATTATTTTATAAAATGCCCCCATTACCACTTTTAAGGTATAAATTTATTTTTAAAAATTGAGCTCATTGCAGATTCACATGCCATTGTAAGAAATAATGCAGAGATCCCTTGTATACTTTGCCCAGTTTTCTCTGATGGTGACATTTTGCAAAACTATAGTACCTCTGCCCATATTTATAAGTGAAATTTTACTACTTGACTCCATCTGGAGTACACTATGCAGATCAGGTAAATACACATCAAGAAAGGCACAGGGGCCTAGAGATGGTTTAAATCAGAGGGTCTGAAATGACTTAGGAACAGAGGGGCCACAAAAGGTGAACCAATTACAAATCTAGCTCTCTTCAGTCTGACAAAACACAAGTCAGGGATAAATTTTAAAAAATGACTCAAAGCATATTAATTCTATACTATATACAATTAAATACTAAATATTATTTAGACTGGCTATGAGCTTAATTTCAAAGTCTAGAATATTAGACTTAGGGGACTTAACATTCAGTCTGGATAGCAAATAGCATAGTGGTGAGGGGTTTAGACCATGGAGTTGGAGTGGGGGAAACCCCCTCCCACCCCTTCTCTCTCCTCCCCAACCCCCCACCACTCAGTAGCTGTGGGACCTTCAGCAAGGTACATGAACTCTCCAAGTTTATTTCCTGAGCTCTAATCCAGGAACGATAATGAAAGCTACATCATAGGGCTCTTGTGAAGATAAGAAAATCCATCCAATAATGCCTGATGCAAGCAGAGAGGACATTGTTGGCTTATGTTGATGTTATTCATTTAAAAGCCTTTCAAGAAGGGTTTCTGAACCTCGGCACCATTGACATTCTGGAACAGATAATTCTTTGTTGGGGGAGGAGGTCCCGTGCCTTATAGGGTGTTTAGCAGAATCCCTGGTGTCTACTCACTACCTCGCAGTGGTGCCCATGTCCCAGTGGGAACCAGTCTCTAGATATTGCCAAATATCCCCCAAAATTTGGGGGGTGCTGCAAAAAAGAAAAATAGACCCTCAATTGAAAACCACCATTTTAAAGAAACCAACTTAGAACAAATAAATGAAGTACTGTTTTCCATAATAGTAGTCATATTTTAAAAGCAACAGGTGATGGATACTGAAAATATAAAAAGTTCAAGAAAGGTTTAGGAACCTCTCTCTCTCACACTCACACATACACAGGCCCATAATGAATCAAGTTTCCTAAAGACATTTGGAAATTCTATGTGCTCCTGAGGTTGAAGTAGATCCCTCTTACTGACTTTCAAAGACTGTTTGGGGCTGGCCCCAGATAGGATGAAAAACAGAGCTATATGGCTAATCAGAGCCACGTAGTAGAACTCCTGACATACTTTTGATGCTTTCTTGGTCTACAAATCCAGTTGTAAACTGCACCTGCGGCGGGAACACCTTCATGGCACCCCAGAGTGGCACCGTGTTCTTGAACGTGTTCCTGAACCTTTCTGTACCTCAGAATCACCAGGGGAACTTTTCCAGCATGGAGATTCTCAGACCTCAGCTCTACATTTTAATTTTGCATTTTAAGGTGGGGAACCCAGACATCTGTACACTTAATAAGCACTTGAAGTAATTAAAAACTTCTGGTCAAGCGAACAGTGTCACAAAATATGAGAGAAGCTGAAGTTCTTGTTAACTCTGTCCCACTTCAACTTCAATGTTAGGGAAAGACCCACAGACTATGCAGAATTCTTTATGAGAATAATTGTAGACCATAAGTAGATATATTACATTAGTTTCTTACCCAAAGGAAAGTTCAATTTGAAAATCAAGATTTTAGAAAAAAATTAATTAGGTACTGCTGTGGAATTATTATTATCTCTAGTAAGAGGTCTCCAGTTATCTCTGGGGACAGCTATGGCTAAAACTCCATCATACTTAGACAGAGTAAGGGTTACTATGCTTAGTCACATGGAATGTCAAAGGGTCTCTCTGCACACTTCAAAAATGACAAACAGTTGAAAAGAAAATCCTCCTTCCATCTTCCGTTCAACCACATTAGAGTAAATGCTTACTCATGCCATGAAGGAAACATCTGCTTCCACTATAAGAGGCTATTAATTCAGGTAGAGGGATTTTGAGCCTAAATATTGTATGGGTTTCTGTCTTAGTTCTGGCTGCTGTAACAGAGTACCATAGACTGGGTAGCTTGTAAACAACAGAAATGTATTTCTCCCAATTCTGGAGGCTGGAAGTCTAAGATCAGGGTACGAGCATGGTTGGGGTCTGATGAGGGCTCCCTTTCAGGTTGCAGACAGCTGATTTCTCCTTGTACCCTCACATGGCAGAAAGAGGGCGAGCTAGCTCTCTGGAGTCTTGTAAGGGCACTAATCCCATTTACAAGGGCTCTGCACCCATGACTTAATCATTTCCCCAAGGTCCCACCTCCAAATATCATCCCATTGGGAATTCAATTTCGATATATGAATTGGGGGGTGGGGCATAAAGATTCAGTTCATGACAGCTTCCATCTCACATTTGGTTTGCAACTAACAAGTAGGGTGACCAACTGTCCTGGATAAACTGGGGCTGAGGATTTCTCAGCATGTGGGACTTTTAATTGTAAAAATGGGACAATCCTGGGCAAACCAAGCCAGTTGGTTACCCTCTGTATAGCCCCAAGCTGCCTTGTAGCCAGCTCCTTCTCCATCACTTCTTTCTAAAGGGCCCTGCATCCCTCAAATCCCTTGTCCATGTCCCCACCCTACCCAACCTCAGCCTGTGGATTTGGTATGTGAGCATCTTTCTTCTCCTGAACTATATTGGATGGAGCCGACTGGCCCCAGATCATGAGTTACATGTCACATGTGGTCTGTGAGCCTCTTCCTGTTGATGAAATTGAAGTAGAGTCAGAGAAAATCTGACATTCTCTCCCAATTGAATACAGTGACTACTTGACCAGTGGTTCCCAGCATTTGGGAGTATTTGTGAAATATATAGATTCTAGGACTTGTACCCTAGAGGCCTGAGAATCTCCATGTTGGAAAAGCTTCCTGGTAATTATGATGTGTAAGAAAGTTCTGGAACACTAGAACACAGTGCCCCCTCCAGGGGTGCCATGAAGTGTGTTCTGGCTGCGGATGCAATTTACAATTGGATTTCTAGAACAGGGGAGGCTTTCAGGTATCTCATAGGAGTGATCTTTACAACCCATAAACCCAAGTTATTCTCAAGACATGCAAACTGCTATATTTTGTTCAGATCATCATTTCAGATGTACACTGCAAAAGTTAAACAGCTTTACTTAAGGCATGCTCTAATCAAGTCAAAAGTGAGTTTGAAACCTATTTAAGTGCCATTAATTTATATTTATGACTGTCTGCTTTTAATGGTTATTAGCATATTATATCTAGATGTTACTTATTATAAAAATCACTTGTATTTTGTCATTATTATACCAATCACTGACATCAATAATTACTAACTGCATATCTATATACATGTAAGGCTCAGGGCTAGATGCTAGACTTTAAGAAAGAGAAAACTATTTTTAAATTACTACAATTTTTTATGAACTTATGGCTATCTATGTTAATCTTATGCAATCACCTTCTCACCAGGGACTTACATGAAAAAAAAACAAAAACAAAACTACAATTTCAAGGTATTCAAAGATCACTTCAAAAATCCATTGATCTGAGCATACATTTCTTCTCTGCATGACACATGGATTAGAAAATGTGTGGCCTTTCTATAAAAGCACATCTTGGAAGTGAATAAGACCAAACCAGCCCATAATTTAAATCATGAAAGCATCTTACAAATGGCTGTCACTTTCACAATATCCCTGCCAAATGAAGAGACTATTTAGATCTCTGAAAACATCTAGTTTTCTAGATATTTCTAGAGCCTAATTTTCTAGGTTCTCTTAGAAAGGCTTCAGGATACTTCAGATTCACCTACATTTTAAAAAATCCAGCATCCAACCCACAAAAACCTTCTGCCCATTTCTGTAAAAAAACCTTCTGCCCATTTCTACCATTTGACACTGAATATGGAATGTATTTATGGTTCCTTTGTGTGAACAATCCCACATAAACCCAGTATTTATTTCCATTGCACAAGGACTGCTAATAAGCTTGTTCAAAATCCTGCCCATCTAGAATGAGAAAATGCAATGCTATTCTTGATCTTTGAGAAAACAAGACATGTAAAAGTCATCATTTTTTAAAATATATCCATACCCAGCGTGACAAATATTTTATTAAACACTCTTTGCCAGATACTTGCATAGCTAATCCAAAACATCAGATAATTCAAAAGCTCATTTGTATTTGGCTTGAGACTTCTTCACATGTTCTGTATGTTGTTTGTTCGCAGGAGGTAGGATATGGGGGTTGGAGGAAGAAAAGGAAGGATGTCTAATAATCTGACTTAAATCCCTAATTGGCCTGATATTTGGCTCCTGCCCAATTTTACTTGTATCTCTTCCAAACCCAATGGCCAACAGAGCAAGTGAGCTCACAAGGTAACAAGGACAGCCCACTGGCCACCTGCACCCATAATTTACCAATAACCAGCACAGCTAGACTAGGCCTCAGTGTCCTTAGTATGAATAGTACTACTTCACAGATCAGTTTAGGATTTAATATAATACCCATAAAGTGCTTACAACAGTGCCTGGATCACAGAAAGTTTTAAATAATAGTAACAACAACTACTGTTAGTAGCTATTATTAGGCACTATCATTAATAGACATTCCAATACTGGAAATGAGTGATTTGCCTGCTTATACCACGTGGGTATGTTTCACACAGGAGTGTGTTAAGTGTACTATTGCTAATGGTACTGAAATAGATTCCCTTTGCAAATCTCTTCCTTCAACTCCTGGAGATTAAGGGCCTCTCATGAATCAAGCTCAGCTAAGCCTATTTCTACCATCCATCCAGAAACCAGTCTGCAAACCTCTGACTGATTAGAAAACACAAGCTTCGCTCACATTTCTACTCATTTCTTTCCTAAGTCTTCCTGGGAGCATGAACCTGCCTCCTATTTGCTAACCAATCTACCATCCCTGGAATTAAAGCTAAAGAAACTAACAGAAAACTGAGACCCAAATTTGAGACTTTTTGACAAGGAAATGAATGCAACATAAATTGAGAAAAAGCAAGACGATACAGGATCAGAATGAGCTGTCAGGCCGGGGGCAGTGGCTCATGCCTGTAATCCTAGCACTCTGGGAGGCCAGGGCGGGAGGATCGCTCAAGGTCGGGAGTTCGAAACCAGCCTGAACAAAAGTGAGACCCGGTCTCTACTAGAAATAGAAAGAAATTAATTGGCCAACTAAAAATATATAGAAAAAATTAGCTGGGCATGGTGGTGCATGCCTGTAGTTCCAGCTACTCAGGAGGCTGAGGCAGAAGCATGGCTTGAGCTCAGGAGTTTGAGGTTGCTGTGAGCTAGGCTGAGGCCACGGCACTCACTCTAGCCTGGGTGACAGAGTGAGACTCTGTCTCAAAAAAAAAAAAAAAAAAAAAGAATGAGCTGTCAGTGAAGCGTTCACCCCCACTTTCCCAGGATTGCTGGATCATCTCACAAGCAGTTAACAGAAGCAGGTAGCAGTACTGAAACGTCCTCATCCCTCAATATCTCAAAAATATCATGCAATTCAAGACAGCAGAGATTATCTAGGTCCAGTGATGTAAAATAAACATACCACTCACTTGTCACAGGAGACCAAATGGGAAAATGAAGACTAGGAGTTGGGATGGGTGCTTTCACCCGACTCCTCGAGGCTCCAGCTAGAGAGAAGGTCCTAGACCAAATGCTAATCCCTCACCTCCCTCTCAGCTCCCCTTGGGCAACTTGGAAGCACCTCTTGGGCCTTCATGTTGCACCTGGCACCATTTCCCCCCAGGGTCCCGGGTTGAGGCTGGAGCAGCAAGAGGCCAAACTACCCTGGGAGCAAAATTTGGGACAACCCCCAGCCCTGCCTCTTACCTGCGGAATCCGCCCCATCGGCAGGCGCACTCTGGGTCGACACTGGGGCCGCGTCCTTCGCTCCGTGCACCTGAGCAGCTTCTTCCTGGTTTGTCAAAAATGCAGAGCACAGATCAGACTCGAGGGCTTGGAGCTTCAGCAAGGAATTCTGCCAGCAAAAGCAGAACATCAGGCTGGCTCAGGTGGGTGCCTGGCGCACGACTGAGAGCCCGCAGCTCCGGGGAGCAGCTTCCTCCAGCGCCCGGCAGCAGCTGCTGGGGGGGAAAGAGCCGGTTGTGCGGGAATCATCTACGCCTTAGTCCACATGCAGGCTCCGTTTCTGCCTCATTGAAATCCTAACGTATATGGCTAATCTGTGACACATGGGACTGGTGATTTCGTCAGCTAGAGACGCTGCATCTGGAGAACCAATCTGAGGAGGTGCCTGCTTCCCGGGTGCTTGAGGTTTTACGCTTTGCAAGTGTTTCATTCATCGTGCTGACATCAGGAGCCCAGGACATCAGGCCCCTCCCAGGCTACCATTCATAAAAGCCGGCGTCCCTCTCCAAAGCAAGGACTGCAGCAAACCGCAGTGCACAAAGAGTTACTGCTGCAGAGGCCGCCTGGCATCTGGGAGGGGCTGCGAGGCTCTCTTATCGGTCTCTGTATGCCAGGGGCGGGGGTGGCAGGGTGTGTGTGTGTGTCTGTGTGTGTGTGTCTCTGTGTGTGTGTGTGTGTGTCTGTGTCTTCTAAAGTTACTTCTCTCACATGGGATGGCTGCAGCAGCCTTTTACCAAGAACAGGGTCCAAGGAGACGACCTCGGTCACTTAGCATAACCCAGCCACTGAAGGAGAAGCAATTTATCTTCCCTAGCCTTCCGCACAACCTCCCACCCTCTCCCTTCATTTCTCATTGTAAATTTCTCCCGGGGTTCTTAATAAGAACAAAGTCATACGGACTGACGCACGCATCCTGCCATGATGCAGATGCAGCAAATTCAATCCCCGGACCAGGTGAAAGTGAGTCAGCCGGGCGCCCTGGCCAGGCCCTGCTTACACGGAAGGAGAAAGCAGCGCATCTCAGCTGCCCTTCCTCTGGCCCAGCTCAGCAGGGGCGGCCACCAGGAGCACAGCCATGGGTCCTTTCCTACTCTGACCCTGCGGCACACACAGGAACGCACATGCCTGCTCAACCCCACCCCCCAAGCCTCACCCTCACCCCTTACTCCTCCCTCCCCCACACTTTCTCTACCTAACACACACCCCCATCCCCAACTGCCCCTCACACCCACCCCACCTCATACATACCCGCACCCTCAGAGCCAGCTCCTAAAATCTCACAGCCCACTCCACAAACCCACACACCCCTATACCCTACCTACTGCACCTCATGTCCAACCCTCGTACCCTCACACCCTAATTCCACACACACCTGACCTCACATAAACACACACCCAACATCCCACACACCCCAACCCCTCCTTTCCACATGGTACCAACTCCCCCCACACCCCCTTATCCATTCTGTTGCTGTGCATAAGTATGAACCTGCAGCAGTGTTTCAGAAGCTGCTCGCTGAGGGATGTCCCAAATCTGTTATCTCTTAGCCTTTCTGAAGGCAGCAGGTGCCTGGACAGGGTTCAGAACCCCTCCCCTGCCATGCCCAGCGATGGGGCAGGATCTGTCACAAACCTCCATGCTCAGGGGCAGCTGCCTGAGACCAGGCCATTATTTATGGCTTCCTCCTCCTTTCTGGGATGTCTTCCCAGCCCCTGAGTATGGAAGCAAGAACCAAAGTTGTTGACAGGAGTTGCAAAAGCAGGGGCACGGAGTTTCTGGAAGGATTATTTAGAAACCAAGCAGGTGGGAGGAAAAAAGAACGATTTCAGGCAAGCTCCCTACCAGAGGACCTTGAAAATCAGTGACCTCTTCTATAGAGGTTGTGCTAAAAAAAAAAAAGAGAAAAAAAAAAAAGAAAAAAAAGAAAATCAGTGACCTCTACAAAAGAGCAAAACTACTCTGAAGATTAAGAAGTAATGCCATGGGAATGTAAAATGGTGCTGTTGCTATGGAAAACAGTATGGTGGGTCCACCCAAAATTTTAAAAAGAATTACCATATAATCCAGCAATTCCATTGCTGGGTATATAGCCAAGAGAATTGCAAGCAGGGACTTGAACACGTATTCACACACTCACATTCATTGCAGCATTACTCAAAATGGCCAAGATATATGCTATGGATGGAATTTTGTCTCTCCAAAGAACGTATTAAAGCCTTCCCAATGCCCTCAGTATGACTGTATTTGGAGACAGGGCCTTGAAAGAGGTAATTAAGGTTAAACAAGGTCATAAGGGTGGGCTCCTAATCCAACAAGACTGGTGTCTTTATAAGAGGAAAAAGACACAAGGAGTGTATGTGCAGACAGAAGTCCACATGAGGACGCAATGAGAAGACAGTAGTTGTCCAAAAGCCATGGAGGGAGGCCTCAGGAGAAACCAACCCTGCTGGCACCTTGATCTTGGACTTCCTGCCTCCAACTGTCAGAAAACATATTTCTATTGCTCAAGCCACCCAGTCTGTGGTACTTCATTATGGAAGCCCTAGCAGATTAATACAAGGTGAAAGCAGCCCAATTACCCACTGATGAATGGATAAACAAAACAGGGTATATACATGGAATGGAACATATTAATAATTCAGCATTAAAAAGGAAGAAAAATTTGACACATTCTACAACATGCATGAACCTTGAAGACATTATGCCAAGTGAACTAAGCTAGTCACAAAAGGACGAATGCTGTATAATTCTACTTATGTAAGGTATTTAGAGTAGTAAAATTCATTAAAACAGAAAGTAGAATGGTGGTTGCCAAGGGCTGGCGGTGGAGGACGGGGAGCTACTGTTTAACGGTGCGGAGTTCCAGACCAGGGAGATGAAAACGGTCCTGGGAATGGATGGTGGTGATGCCTGCACACCGTGTGACTATACTTAGTGCCACTCAACTCCACACTTAAAAATGGTGAAAATGGTAAATTTGATATATGTTTTACTATAATTTTTTTCGAAAGAATAAAGGGTAAAGTAAAATGAAAGGCTGGCATTCTTTCTTCTTTCTACCTTATCTTTCATTCTTTTTTTTTTTAATTATGCAACCAACAGCCTGTGTATGTGCTCTTGTCTATTCTGCAAAGCAGAAGAGGCCAGAGCCTGCAGGGTCCCCCAGAAGCAGCGGGGATGTCAGCTCTGCTACATAACTCTGTGTCTGACTTTGGCCAAGTATCCTGGCTATTCTGAGCCTTACTTCTTCATCTGTGAAAAGAGGCAATAATAACAGTAACAGCAGCACCTGCTCTAAGGGCTGCTCTCAGAATTAAGGGAGGGACAGCACAGAAAGCACTTTGCAGAGCCTCAGTGCATGGCAAACACTCAGGGGCTGGACTCTGCGGATATTATGAATATCTCCACACCCCAGAGGCTGCTGGGCAGAGGTCTGGCCATGTGGCAAGGCCATACCCCACGCTGCCTGCTGCCTTGATTCATCACTTTACCTCCTAGGATCTCATTTCTGTACCCACCTAGTAATACTGACCTCAGGCTAGATGATGTCTAAGTCCCCTTCCAACTTTAAAGGAGAAACAAGCACACAAGTGCCTAGACTGAGGATGGGTACACAGAATGTGGCACTGAGTGGCTGCTTGGACAATGTAGAACTGAACCGAGTATTCAGGAAACACGAATAAGTAGCAAGGAATTTCACTGCAGAGGAGTTCATGTTCAGAGGTCTCCGGACTTCCACAGGAAGTAGGTAGCGTGCCCAGACCGAGTTATGGCTAGAAGTATTCACTGGTTGTTCTCTTCCATTTTCCTCTGCCACCTTCTCCCTCTCTTGTACTCACACTGAACAAGACTCTGAGTGCCAGAGGACATCTATGTGCATGGCTGGCTTATTCCTCTCTGACCTGCTAGATAGGACTAGAGGAATGGAGAAGAAAAGAAGTGGTCCGTGGAACAGAAGAGAGAAGATGAAAGTCTGAAGGGACAAGATCTCCAAGTAGAAGGGAAAAGCAACTGCTGTAAATAGAGGCCAAGAAGGCAGAGTGGGAGGAACTCCACAGACCAGCTGTCCTCAGGTATATCCCTTCCTGCCCTGCACTGACCCATTAACTGAGGACAGCCTGCCTTTGGGCACAATAGGACACTCATTAAGTCCTCCTGAACAGAGGGTGGGGACACCCTGTGTGGGATAGGTCCCAAAGGGATACCTTTCCTGATGACCAAGGAACCCAGGACAAAAGGAGGTGGGCAGAGGGATGTGCCTATGAGTAATCAACACATACATGTCACATACATGTCCTTCCAGTGGATGACAGGAGACAGCCAGCCTGTAAAGCCACTTGAAGAAGTCCCATGGACAGCCTGAACTGCACACGCAGGGTGGTGTCCACCTTGCAGATGGGATGCCACACACGCCATTCTGAAGCTTGGGCAGTAGTCCATGCACAAAGAGCTGCACTAGGCTCTGGGACACCAGACTGCTATCAGCCCCTTCCTCACGGGGGGCTTCCAATCTAGTGGGGAGAGAGCTAATAGCCAAGCAAACAAACCAAACAATAATGACAGTTATTACTGTCTCAGGGCTATAGAGTAAAGAAACGGCAAGCCTGGGGAGAGAGGGACTAACCAACCATTTCTCAATTCCATCAGGCCTGACTTAGTGACCTTTGATACAGAAACGTGCTTTTCCCTCTACAGAAAAATGAAAGACAATAAATCCCGCAGTGCTGGTGCAACCTCAACCCAGCCCCTCTGTTGAAGGACTTCCACCCACAACACACACAGCAAGGGGCCAACCCAGCCCCTGCTGGTGCTTTTCCAGGTTGGCATCCAAAGTCTCTTCGAATGCATGTCTCGAATCTGTAGAAAAATTGAGTGAGGGCTAATAGATCCTCTAAAGAACGACAGCCTCCTCTGCTTCTACAGCTGCCCCATCTGGTTAGGAAAGAAGCCAGGGAGGAGTCCGTGAAACCTAGGTGTGGTTTTCTTAAAAAAGCTCATTATTCTCCTTTACATAATGGAGAATATGCGACTTGTTTTAGAAAATACTCTACTCATTTTCTCTCCTCTACAATTACCCAGGTCCCACTTTAGTTGGGGTGGAAAAGAGAACACCCACACAGGCTGGATGGCGAGACACTATTTTAGGGTGCCTTTGTCTGCAGTTCCCCAGTTACAGAGCAGGGAGAGCTCACATTTGGTTTCTATGAGGGGGTTTAGAGCCTCTCTCCCACTCCTTCATCTATCCAAGAACGGCAGTTGACTCTACGGCGGTATGAAGCAAATCAAATAGGAAATATGCACAAAACTGGGGGCGCAATGGGGTCTCCAAACATCCCCATTACTATTTATCAGTCTTCTTCCCTGGATTTTCACATTTCCTGAGCATGCGTTCCCTACACACACACACACACACACACATGCGTTACACACACACACACACACACACACACAACACACCCCTTCCTTCCCAGCTGCTGATTCACCTGCCCCTGCCCCCTCCTCCCCAGGCCCCACTCAGCTGTAGCTCCTTCACAGTCAAAATTCCATCAAGCTGTTCAGCCACTTCTGATTACCTTATCTCAACAGGGCCCACCTAGCTTCTCTCTTAGCACCTTCTTTATTTCCTTCCCGACACTCACCACAACATGGAATTTTATTTGTCTACTCGTTTATTGCTCTTTCCAGCCCCATCAGGGCTTGAACCATCCCTCCGTTGTTCACTGCTGCGTCCCAGCACCGTGTGTAGAACAAGAGCCCGTCACTAACAAGACTGCCATTGTGTATTAGTTTTGTTTTTCTGGACCCTTTCGCCAGTAGTAGAGGGGCCCTTCTGAGTATCCAATTTCAAGACCCTCTCCTTCCCTAGTTCAGAAAAATTAAAGTACTTAGAAATCACTGGGGAGTTTATATAAGATGTGAATTCCCAGACAAGGACTGGGATTCCCAGAGACCCTGATTCAGTCGTTCTCTGGCAAGGCTGTTTCAATGTGGGAGAGCCAAGGTCCACGCTTGGAGAAATACTACCCTATTCCCTGGATCCTAGCCACCCTCTAAAAGCTGCCTTGGTTGCCTGCTTAGCCCACCTGCCCCAGGGACAGTAAGTTTTCCCTGAGGCCCAGCTCTCCGACACCTTCACTGCTCTGTGCCCCGGCCTCCCCTACAGAGCGGGACCCCCACACCAGGAACATAGAGTACAAAGTGCTCAGAAGCAAGACAGTGTTGCCTCCTGAGCTGCTGCCATTGCTGGATTCTGGATGTTCTTGCCAAAAGAAGTGAAACTTCTCCCAGTGTTGATGGTAACAAGAAAAAGGCAAATTCATCCCTGCCCCAAAGACAGTGGGCTTTTGGCTAATCCCTCTAGGGACTGTGCCGCTCAAGGCCCAGGGCACTCTGCAACACGACAAGCTCGGCGCAGCCCACGCCAGCTCTCCTAGGCGAGGCGTGCTCAGCCCTCACGTCCCTGCACTCCCCAGTGAAGAAATTTAGTGGAAAAGAACAAGCTATTCGCCTTAAGGAGCCCTCTGTTGACAGAAGGATCCAGGTCCTATTTGGGTCCACTAGCAATTCTGTTTAAACAAGGACAACAATAGCCACAACACACAATATAACACAAGCCACACTTCCTTTCAGCTGAATGATTTCAACCTGGGGGAAAGAGGGGCCCTTTGTCTTGCCTCATTGTGATATCCTTGTTATGTTCACATTATTACATGAACAACAAAAACGAGTTGTTCGGGAGAGAATAATACAGCTTTATAAATTCACATTTAAAATCAGAACTCCGAGCTTTTCTAGATGATAAGACTGATTTTTCTGAAAATAGAATGTGCCTCAGTTACAACTCATGGAATGAACTTCAGTAGTTTCTCATTGGAGTTGCTAGTACTTAAACTATACAAAAGCACAGGTATTAAGATGGATAAAACCTCCATCTTAATCTACAAAAAAATAAATAAATAAACACTAATCATTTTTTTTCCAGATAACTAATTATATTTCAAGGACTGAAGTTCAAAGCTAGTCTGGGTTGTAGTCCATATGGTTACTTCTTTGAGGCTATTTTTGTTCCAATTTCTTTTAGCCCTGAAAGATGTTCTGCTTCAAAACTAATGTCAGTGAGATGTGAGTGCAGCAGAGGGGCCCACAGGGCTTTATTCTGTGTCCCCGGGCCACTACCCAACTATGCTGAGCCCACAGACACTTCTTTCTCTGATGACTCTACCTAAACACCTTTGATTCATAAAATGCAATGAATATTAGAAATCAGTAACTGTCCATTGGAAATCATAAAATCACATGCCATATGAAATGAATTATATACCTAAAGCCGTAAAGATGGCAGGTCACACTGGAAAGGATTGGCCATTTCCTCAAATACTAATATGTTTATATCTATATTTTTAATTGACACAGAATAATTGCACATATTTATGGGATACATAGTAAGTTTTGATACATATAAGAGTCATCAAATCAGGATAATTAGCATATTCATCACCTCAAACATTTATCATTTGCTTGTGTTGGGGACATTCAAAATCCTCTCTTCTAGCTATTTGAAAATATACCATAAAGTATTGTTGACTATAGTCACCCTACAGTGCTGTAGATCACTAGAACTTATTCCTCCTACCTAGCTGTAATTTTGTACCCTTTAACCCATCCCTCCCTCCCCACTACCCTTTCCAGCCTCGAGTAATCACTGTTCTATTCTCCATTTATATGAGATCAACTTCTTTAGCTTCCAAACATGACTGAGAACATGTTGTCTTTCTGTACCTTATTTCACTCAACATAATGTCCTCCAAGCAAATCCATGTTGCCACAAATGGCAGAATTTCCTTCTTATGGCTGAATACCATTTCAATATGTATATATACACCACATTTTCTTTGTCCATTCATCTGTTGATAGACACTTAGATTGTCAAATGCTAACATTTTGTTAGAAAACAAGAGATTCAGCTTTTGCCTCCCTTGAAACTTGAGTTTTATAGCCTCAGAAAGCCAAGAATGTCCTAAAAAGGACAACTGGTGCCAACGCTCAGAGGGCCAGACTCTAGGATATTATGTCCAGACTTGACATGTGTCCCTATAAACCTCTGGAAAATGGGGACAACAAAGTTCATTTTTGTACTGCAGCTCCCTCACCCCACCCTTGTACCAAACCGAGCTGGGTACACACACATTTGCTTCTCAATAAATCCTATTGAAAGAAGGAATTACTCCTTAGAAAAAAAATATCCCAAAGGTCAAACTCCCAGGCAAAATTTGGTCTTCAGACCAGCAGTAATATTTTTTTAAAAGTTAGCAGGAGTGGAAAGAGCAGAACATATATGTGAAGGCTGCCAATTTTATATTTCTCCAAGTGACGGTATGTGGGAAAACAAGTAAACAAAACCCCTCCACATCATTTCACCACAAAATGAAAGTTTTAAGAACAATCTCTAGATGAAAGAGTTGTTTGTTGACTTCAGCTTTATGAAAAACTCACTACATTCATTGTTCTTATGCTTATCCTTTTGCTACAAAGCAATGAAAACTATAACACAGGCTGACCCCTAGGAGCCACTGAACTGAACATAGTCCCTTCCAGCCTTCCCCGAGAGTAGGAAATTAGTAGCATGAAGGGGAATAAATGAAAGAGTGAACAACAAGAAAAAGGATGGAGACGTCATGCCAGACAAAGAGCAGGGGCCAATGGGACAAAGTGGCAGGGTGGAGGGGAGACGGGGAGGGCTGGCAGGCGGAAGGCACACCCAGGCGGGTCAGCTAGGCAAGGCCTGCTGTGATGTCTCTTTGCAGCCCAGCACCTCTGAGCCTTCTTGCAAGGCAATACTCAGACAAGGAAGAATATGGGCAGCTGCTGGGCACAGCTTCCACCTTTCCTGCCAACACCACTCTAAGGATTCCCTTGAGGGTGAGGACTATAGACCTGGTCCCCCCCCCGGAAACAAGAAGCCAGGCTGGATAGACACCTCTGAATGACAGGGCAGAATAAGCCAGGCCTGGAAGCAGTTCAGAGTGTCTCTGCTGTGCATTTCATTCAACTGGGAATGAGAACTAGAGTCCACACCATGATTGTGTTGGATATGGGATGTCCTCATTGACAACAACAAAAGTTGGCTAAAATTAAATGAATCATAGGACATGGTTCCAGCTGAGGAAGAAACCTTGGTAGGGGAGCAAGGTGACTTTATCTCAACTCGGAAAGCCATACCAGAAAAATGCCAGGTGGCATCCCACAGTGGTCTAGCAGAGAGGAAAATTACCTTGGAGATCATGCTTCCAGAGACCAGCAGTATGCAGCCCAGCATCCAGTTACTCGTCTTCTGAGAATAGCACTCCCAGATCCCAAATGTGGCCCGTGTGTAGCAAATCAGCTTATTCTAAATCCCAGGACATAGCGACTGGTTCAGGAATGGGAATGTACCCCAAACCAGGTAATTGAGATTCAAGGATGGGACTTTTTTAGACCTAGAATGAAGAGTCTCTTATTCCAGTATGTGGTAGGCAGACTCCTAAAGGTGGCCTCCAAAATTCCTATACCCTGGTTATTCAATCAAGCACTAATCTAGGTACTGCTGAGAAGGGATTTTGCAGGTTTAATTAAAGCTTTAAATCAGCTGACCACAGATACAGAGATTATTTGTTCCAGCCTGACTCAATCAGGTGAGTCCTTTAAAATGCAAAGAGTTTCCTCCAGCTGGTAGCAATACACAACATCAGAGCGAACCAAAGCACAAGAAGAATTTGTTGTTGTTGGCTTGAAGAAAGAGGAAGAGGAGGAAGAGAAGCAGAAGGAGGGGAAATGCAACAGCCTCTAGAAGCTGACAGCCCCCCCAGGCTGACAACCAGCAAGGAAGCAGGGACCACAGTCCTATAACTGCAAAGAACTAAATTCAAGTGTTAACAACGTGAAGGAACTTGGATGTGAACTCTTCTTCAGAGCCCCTAGATAAAAACCTACCCCAGCTGAAGCCTTGATTTCAGTTTCATGAGATCCCGAGCACGGAACCCAGCTGAGTCCACCCAAACTTCCAACCTACATAACTATGAGCTAATAAATGGGTGTTTGAAACCACTAAGCTTTTGGTAATTTATTACACAGTAATAGAAAACTAATATACACTGGAATGACTGGCTGTAAGAGTAATATGTCCCTAGAGAGAGACTGACCTAAAGATGAAGCCAATATAGGAAAGAAGAACCAAGAAACAAAGAGATGACATCTCTCTGATGAGTTTTCAAACCCTGAATCTAGCCATGCATAGAGCCTATCCTGATCCTAAACTTTCAGCTGTATGTCAATAAAATCATGCTATTATTAAAGCCAGGTCGAATTAACTTTCAGTCATGTGGAAAGAATGACAGATACTGAAAAAAAAAAAATCCTCAATCAATTCTGAACTAAGATCCGATCTTATAGACTGGGTTTGCATTTGAAGGGAAAAATACAGCTGCCTGTTCTTACAGCCAATAAAACCATTCTGCTAGCTCATGAGTGTCAAAGGCCTAAAGAAGTCTCTTGCTAGACCATTTTCTCAAAATTAAAACAAGTTTGAGGAAGAAACACATCTTGAATAAAACAGTAAGTATCATCTTGAAGTCTGATAGGGCTTGCTGCCAAAACATCTGTATGATAAACTACGAATGATAATTAGTAGACAATCAAGCCCTCTCCAAGGACACTCACAGGCATACACACACATGCATACAGACTCAAACTGAAACACTAGAAATGTGCAGATTGTTCTTCTTTTAACAAAATTAAAGTATTAAAGGATTTTTCATAGATTTTAAAGAGGAAAATATTGTTAATATTGAGGCTAATGTTGAGCTATTATGACTAGCACAATTCAACAAAAGGTAACAGCAGTATATGAAGAAAAGATGAACTTTTCATATTGATTTCAGTTAGGTAAATAATCTCTTCCATACCCAGCTAAATAAAAACATATGTCATCTTTGTAGAATAAGAACTGCAATGACAGATCCAAGGTTGAACTTCTTGTTATTGATATTAGGTCATTATTGACCATTTGTTGCATGCTAATGATTTATTACATTTATTTCTTATAACATAGACCCTTCCTGAAGATTCCAGTGGTATTTCTGAGGGTTGTGTCTCTTCTTGGTAGAAACGTAGTCAGAACACAGCGCAGCACAAATCCGAATCCAGTCTCACTTTGAGCCTCTTCTTTTCCTCTAGTTCTTGACCAACTGGTACGAGTGACGCTGCCACACGCAAACCTGGCGATCTCTCAGTTATTTTGGATAAAGTGAAAAACTAAACTTCAAAGCAGCCTAGAACATGCCTCTAGGATGCCCAGTAGGTTCAATTTACAGCTAAAATGTTTCTACTCTATTCTATAAACTCAAAGAGCACCCATAATGGTGTCTTTAGAATAGAACTGCACTGTTTCTTATATTCTTTCCATTCAAGAAATGCTTTTATCTTCCTGCTCTAAGTGCTCATAAAAAGAGCAAATACGGTGTCAGAGAATTTATGTTTGCTCTTTTCAGATATATTAGGTTTTATTAGTTACTGGGTGAAATAGTATAGCCAGTGTGACTGTATTAACTTTCCTCATGAAGAACAGTGTGACTTGAATTTCTCCACCTTCACAAACCATTTCCTTTTCCTCTCTACATCTCACAGAGTCAGGAAAGAGGCAACAGGGTGAGAAGGATAGAGTATCACTATCCTTTAGACTCTCACTGCTGAGTCTAGCAATTTCTTCTCCCTTACAAAAGATGATGCCATCTTTTCCCATTCCATGCCATGGACATATAGGACACAGTGACTTCCATCTGCACTGGTTCCTTCCTCAACATCAGTGGCCCTTACATACTCAGTTACTTCAAAGTCCAGGCTGCTAATCGTGCTAATATCTAGACTCATAATTCTTCAAGTGCTTCAATTTCAATGCTACTTCCACTTAACCATGGCTGGCCATCTCAGCAGGTTGCCACAAATTTCCAGGACCTCAAACCTTCTAAACATCACTTCTATCTCTTCCACTCCCTGAAAATGAACTTATCCTGTTCTCCTTATTATATTAAGCTTCTGGGCTTCTCTATGTTCTTACAATCAATCATCCCACTTAAACTCCTTACTTCGTGGGAAGCATATGATGCAGAGATAGACATTTTTCTCCGAAGTTTGATTCTGGGGATACCAAAAAGTCAGCATGCCCACCTAGAAGTATTTCTCCCAATGACCCATTGAGTCTCAGCTCCCTCAAAATCCTCTTCATTAGAACTGTAGAGTTTATTAGTGGGCAAAAGACTGATGTAACATTTGCTCACTTTCCCATTCCAAGATTTAGCATCTGCTTCTTTGTGCTTGACACGTCTCTCTTGGGTAAACCCCTTAACTCTATAACAAGATTTTTTTTTTTTTCAGATTTATAAACTGGCTCCTTAGGCCTGGACAGGATAAACTGTAAAATCAGTCCATGCCAGCACAAGACAGTTCCAAAGCCAATAAGCCTCAGAGATGAGGGAAATAAGGAATTATGTAAAGACACCAAAGCTTCTCCTTCAGGGTCAACTGGCTTGTGGCCAACCTTACTTCTATGACCTTGGAATTCCAGATAAAGAGTGAAATGGAACCAAACTCACATTCACTCAACTGATAACTTGTTTTATCCAAAAGTTAAGTGTAGAATACCTTCAAAGTTATCTACCAGATAAGAAAATAAAATATTTTTCCTCAGCACAAGGTCATGAGCAGCTTTTGAGGTGACCCAGTCCTTTTATGGGAATGATGACATAAAAGCCGGGTTGGATGAGTAGAATGGCAGAATGATAAAGAAGGCTCAGAGTGACCCCAAGTTTCAGCCTGCTCCCCAGGATGACTGTATCACTCCAGACACTCAACTGACCCCAATTCTTCACTTACAGACGAGATGGGGTGCGTTCAGGGTGGTATGTCCATCACTTAATGATACTGCGGCCTCTCTCTCATGTCAGACTGATAAATAATTATGCCAAACACACATGTCACTTTTACAGCATTATTTATTATTCACTCCCCAAGCTAGCCCTTCAGATGGCTTGTTGGCCATGAGGAGGCCTCAACCCTGAGTAACTCTGGAACAATTTGTCTCATTCCATCCGGACAGGATCTGATGGCTGAATTCCACAAGCCCTTGGAAAATGGAAATAGGGTAGAATTAATGAGCATTAAAACTGAAAGGCCTCCATACTGTATGATCTCACTTGTAAGTGGAATCTGAAGAAGCTGAACTCACAGTAGAGAGTAAAACGGTGGTTACCAGAGGCAGGCAGTGGGGAGGCAGCTGGAGAAAGGAAGACAGTACTTAACAGGTACAAACTTCTAGTTAGACAGGAGGAACGAGTTCTGCTGATCTACTGCACAGCACAGTGACTGCAGTTAATAATAACGTACCAGGTATTTCAAGATCGCCAAAAGAGAGGATTCTAAATGTTCTCACCACAAAAAAATGATAAATATTTGAGATGATGAATCCACTAATTAGCTGCCTTTGATCATTCCACAATGTATACATGTATTGAAACATCACATCGTACCCCATAAATATATACAAGTATTATTTGTCAATTAAAAATAAAATTAAACTTTAAAAACTCCCCAAATACCCTGAAAGGGCTACTGGAGTTAGCCCAATTCAAAACCTACTCCCATAATTTTACAAATGAAAACTAAAAAAAGTTGATGTGATGCTCTGTGATAAACAGACTGAGAGGTGGAAAAAGTAGTTTGATGGACCAGGATGGCGTGTTTTCTCAGGGAAGGGAAAATCCATTAGTTGTTTTTTTTTTTTTTTTTTAATATCTCTCTTATTTTCTTAATTGGAATTGAAGCAGGAATGGAGATCTAAAAGGGTGCAGAGAATGAAAGCAATTTTCCTCATGTTATCTTTCAAGCACCCTTCTGATCTATTGAATGCTTTTCAGTTATATGGAGGTGGTGGACTAACTGAAACCAAGTATTAAGGTAGATGAGACACTGACAGATGTCAAGTCTAGAATATTTTCCAGCCATCATTCATAAGACCCCAAACAATAAAATTTCCTGATGTCTCCCAGAGGCAGAGTCAGACTGCTCAGGTGAATGGTTGTAGGGAGATTTAATTAGTTTTTCAGAGAGAAAAAAAACCAAAAAACAAACAACAACAACAACAAAAAATCTATACCCAGTCCCAGAGACACCAAAAAACATGGGATGGAGATGCAAGTCCTATCAGAAGATCCAAGGTTAAAAACTAGTAATTCTGGACTTAAGAAAAGTGAGACTGGCAAGTGTCTATACTCAAGCCAAACAAAAAAGAAAAGTTAGTGAGGTTTTCGACCCACTGGGAAAGTATGGAAACACACACAGAGACAACACACACAGATATGTTACAACATGTATCACCATGCTGGGCAGAGGGGATCTTGGGTCAAGTCTCAGCTCTGGAACCAAACCATAGCTGAGCCCATTTGTCTGTGGCAAAACAAGTAGAAAAGGAAGTTCAAATAGCAGAAGCGAAATACCAGATGTGAGATTTGGGGAAAGTATAAGACACGTGTAGCATCTTATAATTGTTATTATTTACATACAACATTAGGGTCCATGGAAACATCTGGAAAATACTTATAGACATGCTTTTCGTGAAGGTCAGGAAACTCTTTTCTGACTTTAGACTTGCAAGTTGGTGTAGAAGAACGAGTATAGATATAGAACTGGTAGGTTCTTTTCAGAAGATGATAGGGGTGGGATAAAAGAAAGGAACAAAGAGCAAGAAAGAGAGGTCAAATGACAAAAAAGGTCTACCTTACATGCCCATTGAGAGACGGAAGGAGTACTGTTATGAAAAACTAGCTGTACAAAGAGGCCAGAAAACAGCTCAGAGTAAATTTTTAAAAATACAATCAATAACAACTGATCACGTTAGTCAAATACTAGACACAACCATACAATAGATACAGCAAGGCAAATGAAAACCACAACTACATGCCAAATATGGATGAATCTCACAAACATAATATTGAGCAAAGGAAGCCAGACATAAAAGAATACATACAGTCCATGCGTAAGAAACTCAAACACAGCAGTTATCGTCACAGGGAAGTAGTGACTGGAAGGGATTACAGAGAAGGACTGGGGAGGCTGGAAATGCTGTTTCTTGATCTATTTCCTGGTTTAAACACTTAGTAAGAATTCATCCATCTGTACACTTACAATCTGTGCACTTTTCCATGTGATTTTTCTATTTGCATTAAAAATATGACAGCAATGTTTCCCAGGGGTGTTCCACAGGACTCTGTTGCCTAAGGAAATGTCATTAGGTGGTGCTTCCATAAAAGAGTTTGGTGTTCAGTAAGTTTGAGAAATGCTGGGAAAGATGCAGTTAAGTAGATTTGCACTCCGCAGGACGTCTCCATCAACGAGCGAGACCAAACACATCGACCCTCCAGCCTGGCCTCTGACCCCCTCACGCTGCACCCCCTTCTCTAAGGTCTCTTGGAGTCTCCCACATTTTGGTCACGACAGAAACCGCATGAGACAAGGTGGGTCTGCACATATGGGTTATCCCCCAACTGGAACAAAACCACTTTCAGCACACACTCACCGTATTCAACCAGTTTGGGTGGGCCGCGCCACCTCTGCCCGAAGCGCACGTGTTTCAGATATGGCGCTGCCTGCTGTTGCACATGCGCAGCTCCATTCAGCCATCTCGGGCTCACGCGGTCCCAGAGCGGTGAGCTTGCACATTTCATGTCATTTGCAAATACAGCATAGCAAAGCAAAGCAGATTTTCAAATAGAGCTTTCAAAACTGTGATTTAGGGATGCTCAAGCAATCTCGGCATTCTCATGGGTTTCCAGCTCAAAACACAGAGTTTCTCCCAAATACTTGAGAGCTATCACGAGTTGACTCTCACAATCACCTCATTTTTCTAGTCACTCATGTCAAAACAAACCATTGCTTCTTTACAACTAGCATTTTGCTTATTCACGGGGGGCAGACAGCTGTGTTCATTGACTCTCTTAAACTGTTTTTCACTCTTGTTACCATGAGTGAAACTGTGGAATGTGAAGCCTGTCTCTATGCACACACACACAAATAGAATTCTATTCTCTTATCTTTAGGACATTTTTCACTTTAGCTATTTTACTTGGCTTAACCCGGAAGCTGGTTCACCTTTGGCTATTTGTTTCTACCAAATTCTACCAATACCAAACCCCCCCCCAAAAAACTAAATTTAGTTAAATATCTTTTGGGTGTCAGGGGGAGAGGCAGAGAAGGGATGCATCTTCAAAATGCCAAATAAACAATTTGCTCAAAGCTCATCAGTTTTCTTCCAGGCATTTGATCATCAAGTCTGTTCATTCTCTTTGCTGTGATCCTAATCAGACATCCCATATACCACCCACTGCTTCTTAATTTACAGTGAGGACAAGAAAAGACAGAGTATTCCAAACCAATGTCTTAAGCCAAGGCATTCATAATAATAGGTCTCCTAATTACATTATATTGATTTCAAATAGGAGAATTAAATCATATATGTCAGAGAAAATCCAGAACAAGCTAATTAACATTGTGATGTCCAGTTTGTTGGGAAAAAATTTGGGTTGGAAAATGTGGCTTTATGTTTCAAAGCCTGCTAAGAAAACCATATTGCAAACACTAAACTATATCATATTCAGTGGATAAACAGTAAGCATGATTATGTTTGAGACTACAAAAGCCATAAGAAAGGAAAAGAGAAAGAGAAAGAGACAGAGAGAGAGAGAGACAGAGAGAAAGAAAGATACAGACAAAATAAAATTAAGAGAAAATGTTATAAATGTTAACTGTCACAACCATGAAGCAAAGTTGAAAAGAGTGTAATGAAATGACTGCTGGACTTGGGTTAGGGCCAAGATGTGGGGAGCAATCTCACAAACAATATTTTAAATGTGTTTGCTCCAGAGCAAGGAACAACATTACCAATTGAACAAAGAACTACAAGCATGACAAGTTCCCTTAAGAGCAAAAATACTTAAAGTTTTAATCAGAAAGAATTCCTAATACTGTGTAAAGGAATAATAAGTCTTGTGATTGGCTAATTCATGTTCATATAACCAGCAATGATTGCACCTACCTCATTTAAGTCCTGCTGAGTTTCAAAAGCATCCTTTGGCCAAATGGCAGCCCTCTGGTCTATTCTATAAAATACAAAGGAAAATTATTTCCATTTAAAAGAAAGCTTTCAGCAATGCACACTTGAGGCTGGCAGCTATAGATCTGGCCAGGCCTCTGTTAAAAACACTTAGTGGTGTCCCAGTGCCTGTATTCCACTGCCGGTAGAATAAAATCTAGACTCCTTACAATGGCCTGCAACACATACAGCATTTGAATCCTGCCAACCTTCCTGGTCCTACCTCCTACCACTCTCACCCTTGTTAACCATACTTTAGCCACCCTGACCTTCTATTTCTTGAACATATAGTGTTTGTTCCCTATTCAAACCTTCATACTTGTTGTGGGCCCAGACAGCTCTCCCCCCAGATCTGCATACAATTGACTCTCCTCATCATGTATGTATGAGCTCAGCTCACATGTCACCTCCCTAAGGAGGCTCTCCTGACCTCCCTAACTAGAAGTAGTCCTCTCCTCACCCTACAGAGCACTGTCCTCTGTGTGTATGTGTGTGTGTATATATACACACACACACACATATATATATATATATATATATATATATATCACTTCTTATTATCTGAAATTGTGTCTGTTTGCAGTTCCATACTAAAATGTAAACTCTAAGAAAGCATTGATTATGTCTACTTTCTGCACTGCTAAATCCTCAGTGCCTAGTACAAATTCAATGATGAATCTGAATGAATGAATGTGATCTGATACAGTTGTTACAGAAAGATACCATTTGTTCACTGAAGACAGCTTTTGGAAATTTCATCCTATCTTTTAACTTGACAATAAATATTATAGTCATTGTAAGGTTACATGGTGTTACGGTTTGGATGTGGTTTGACCCCACCAAAACTCATGTTGAAATCTCATGCCCAATGTGGCAGTGCTGGGAGGTGGGGCCTAGTGGGAGATGTTTGGGTTATGGGGGTGGAGCCCTTATGAATAGATTAATGCCTAGGGAGTGAGTTCTTATTATCTCAGAAATGGGTTCATTCCCTGGAGAGCTAATTGTTAAAATTTTGAGTCTGGCTTCCTTGGCTTCTCTCTCTTGCTTCCTCTCTCACCACAGGATCTCTTTGCACCCTCTAGCTCCCCTTCCACTTTTGACCATGAGTGGAAGCAGCCTGATGCCCTCATCAGATATAGCCGCTCAATGTTGGACTTTGCAGCCACCAGAAACATGAGCCAAATACAACCCCTTTTCTTTATAAATTACCCAGCCTTGGGTTCTGTAATAGCAACACTAAATGGACTAAGACACATGGTGAAACTTGATTTTGTCACTACATAGCTCACAATACCATAAAATGAACTTAAGGCAAGATATGTCTGCTCTGAGTCAATTTTCTTTAGTTTAAAAAAGCACACAAAACTTCATTGCTGGAAGATGCTTAGGTCTCAATCATGATTTGTCAAGTTCTGTGTTCCAATGGCATCTATGAAACAGCATTCAAGTTTTTCTGCAGCAGTTTACATGCTATTATATAATAAATGCATTGAATTATAGTTATTATCCTTATAAAAAGGCCAGCTATCTTATGACTAAGAGATTTAGTCAGTGTTAAGTCATTTTATAAAAAGATTTATTTTGGGACATAATTATTCACAGTTATTATTCTGCCTCAATTTGATTCCTAAAGAAAGAATATGTATCCTCTGAATGGGCAACAAGATTGATTTCTGAATGTCATAATGCACATTTAAAAATGGCACAACCCTAATTTCTTCAAAATATTCTTAAGAATGTAAAGTCCTCTCAATCCATAGGCATTGCTAACTGTGCAAACAATTTATTTCTAGTGAGAAAAGTAAAGATATGATAAAAGAAGAAAATTGTGAAGGTCAGCCTAATATCTTCCCTGCCTGCACAAACCAGCATTCCACTCCTGGGTGTGAGAGAAGACTAAGGCTCTCAACCATGAGCTCAGGCATAGACAGTTCCAGTCAGAGAAGGTAGTGAGGAGGGAGATTGCTGCCTTACCCACCCTGTGTCCATCAAGCCACAAGCATAATGATTTCAGGGCTTCAGAAAATACAAAGTAGTGCTTTCTTATAAAATAGGGGAAAGGACTTTTAGGGACGGGGATTAACCCATCCTACCTAGTAACATGTTAAACTTTAAATGGCTCACAGTTTCTTTGTAACCTACAGTGGTTTTCAGACTATGTTTCTACAGAGTAGCACCAGAAAAATGGAAGAGTCATGTTCTTTAATGTAAAGAATATTTATCAGTTTATACTTTTCAAATATAAATTTCTCTAGGGCTTTGGTGCCACCTACTTGTAGATGAGTGACAGCAGATAGTAAAAACAATAAACAAGTACCTAACATTAATGGAAAGAAGCAGAAATATACTTTGTTAAAAATATATAATACACATTACTGACATATAGAGAAGAGCTGACATGAAATATACTCACATGATCTTCTAGGAAAACTACTCTTAACCATTACATACGCCTCCAGAACAAGTTCAAGAACTGTGTTCAAAAGCATCAAATGTCTTTATTTTAGTAATCATCAGAATGTCTACTATTTGCCTGGTGCAGTGTTGGGGAAACAATAAATAGAGTCTATGCCTTAAGGAGTCTTATAATCCAGTGAAATCTTAAACAGAGGCTAACACAAAAGAACACAGAGCCTTGAGGCTATTTCAGTAAATCAAGGACCAGGGCACAAGAGCTGATATGAGAATGGTGGAGAGTAACTGGAAAGGTAGAAACAGGTAAGAGACATTTTCAAGGATAAAAGCAATGAAGAGGTCTTGGGTATGGAATCAAAGTATGGAATAAAAATGGTGGGGTAATCCAAAATTTTTACAAACTTTTGAGCCTGTGTGACAAGGAAAATGGCAGGTGGTTTTTCTAACGGAGATAGAAATATATGTCATTTTGGAGGGAGGAGAAGCCATCAGGCATAAAGAGAGGCAATTTATGAGTTCAGATTTAGATATTTGAAGCTTGAGGTGAGGCTGAAATAAGGAAGTAACAATATCTGGCCAGCGTTCACCCTAGAACTAGGGCACTCTACAGTGTGGTCAGCACAGCACAAGTGATGATTATGACAATGATGCACAATAGCCACAGGTAAGTTTATATGAGCAGATTCTGCATTGTCTTTTCTTCATTATGTGGCCAGAGCTTTGTACAATGGCCAGGACATTCTTAGCTTTTGGATAGGTGGATATGTTAGGTAGATAGTGAGGGATTCCAGCTCTCCTAGGGACAGAGGCGGGTGGCTGTCTTGGTGCTGCCCCACCTTAATCTTGCCCTGAACAACTTCCACATCTAGAAGAAGGAGGCACCTCTGCTAATCTGCAAAAGAATGCAGGGAATTTCCCAGCCTACAGGCCAGGCAGCCCAGGCACAATAGGATCTGGAAAGGTTTCTAGACTAAACTAAGGCTAATTATCCTGTCACTAACTGTCCATCAGAGTGGTTCAGTGGTGACGTCTGACCCACAAAGGGGGCCCAATCTAGACACTATAACGCAAGACCCCACACCATAACCAGAGCCCTTTTGTTGGACAGGAGGGCCCATTTATCGTCTATGGCAAATGTACCTTGCTTTTGCTCTGTCAATCTATCTTGTCCTTCCTTAATAAACTTTGTTTCATGCTTGCCTTGCTTTTGGTGTGTGTGGTCATTCTTCAGCCAAGAGCACACCAAGAACAGACAACTACCACCCAACAGATAAACAAAGAAATATTAAAAACTAGACCCAAGAGTGACTTCTTGATGTACCAGTTACTAGGTGTATACTATTAGGCAACTTATTAACCTCTCTAAGCCTCAGTTCTTTAGCTGCAAAGTGAAAATAATAACAACAGCTATCTACAAGGACAATTCATGATGTGAAGGACAGTTCATGAATGATACTTACTACTACGTTAGCTGTATTAAGTGTAATACACACATTCTATAATATATAAAAAATATGATTAGAATTATTATATAATGATGACAATTAATGGTATGTTTTGTTCATAATAATTAAAGTCTTGTTAATAAATAAGCTGAAGAGAGAAGCAATCGGGTCCACTGAGCAGGTCTCTAGAACTGGCCAGTTAGGAGACAAAAGAAAGATAAGAAAATATGGGAGGTAAGAAGCTTATCACAATATAGCCCTCTAAATACCAGAGAGAAAGAAATTATTAACATGAGAAACAAGAGTGACAAGAAGAACCTAACAATTCACCAGACCTTACTACTTCAAGATGGGTCTGCCAGGTAGTTTACTCACATTATTTCATTTAGTCCTCAAGGTAACCATATGAGATTAGCACTATTACATCCACTTGACCTAATAGGAGAAAGGGCAGTTAAATAACTTCATCCATTCATTCAACAAATATTTTTTAAGCACCAACTATATGCCAGGTACTATTGCAGGTATTGGGAATAAAGCAGTGGATAAAACAAAGTCTGCCCTCATGGAACTTATATTCTCATGGAAGGAGAGAGAACCTAAAGGGATAAACTGGTGATGATCTGTAGTGTACCAGATGCTAAGTGTTATGGAAGAAAAGAAAGCAAAGCAAAGAAAACATGGCATGCAGGAGAATCAACCAAGCTTACACTGCTAGAAAGTGTCAAAGTTGTCTAGAGATAATGAGGATGAAAGGAGAAAAAGAAAAGGCCACTAGATTGAAAAAGATAAAGGGCATAGGTAGAAGAGGGAAAAGAAACGAAAGCTTCTCACTGAGAAGTTTAGCAATAAAACAGGAGAACTGGAACAGTAGCCAGCCATCTCAGATTCCCTTCTTTTAAAGATCTTTAAAGATACCGCTTGAACCATTTCACAATTGTGCCTGGAATCTGGCTTACACACAAAAACTGGGTCACACGGAACACTCCCTCCAATTCTCTTGCATCCCTGCCCCGAAAACAATAATAGGAAAGTGTCTAAACAAATCTGTATCAAATGCCTGCTTCTGAAGTGGGCCAAGATGAGTAAGCTCGTCAGGGTAGTCTGCCAATTCCAACATAGCCTTGCCCTCCAGCCCAGGCCCAGG